GTGTGCAGTGGAGCCTCTGGAACGGCATGGGTCTGATGCAACAGATTATCGGTTCCCCAGCTCGGCGGCCAGGGCGCCAGTCGCAACAAGACACGCGCCGACGTTTATCGAACGAGCGGTGCCCATGGAGCGACGTTTGCAGACTACTGCGTTTGAGGCCATTGTAATACGCATAAAATGCCGCTGGCGCCGCGAACCACGAAATTCAATTGGAGTCCTCCAGCGTGTTCCGTGCATTCTGAAAATTGCATGTATTCCGAGGGCGTATTTCGCACGTTGCAAGTACACCGCCTCGAACTTTGAAGTTGCCGTTGCGAATTCATCCAGTGGATGGCGCATGCTTGCGACTCGAGAGCCGTGCTGTCGCCTGGTTCCGTGCGCGGCGCGGCAACATCCATATTCCATAATCAATGGTAGTTGGAGGAGCGCAGACATCTGTGATTCATCCCTTCCAGTGTTTCCGTGCGACATGCGCCCTCGCCCCAGGCTTCTGTGCCACAGCCCACCGCTCTCAGGCAGGCTTCTGCCGCTCGGGGTTTCTGGCTACTCCTTGAGCTGCACCGCGCGGACCTCTCGGGGCCGCTCCGGGCAGGCCGTTCGCCTACCTGTCGACCCGTCTTGGAGGAGTCGCGGGGCCTTTGGGAGCAGCTGGGGAGCCAGACTCGGCCATGCTGCGTTGGCACGGGCCACCTTGGAGGCCGTCGTGGGGACTCGGAGCTGCCCTGGGAGCTATTATCTCTGGCTGGCCTGGGCGCTCCAGCGCCCCGTCGCCCCCCTTCCCAGGTCCAGGGGGAAGGGCCAGCGAAGGGGAGGCTCGTTCCCCCGAGCGGAGAGAAGAATGCGTTGGAAGAGAAAGCGCTGTGTGAATTCAGGGGTGGATAGACCTCCTACCCTGACACGTCGAGTAAGGAATTGGCCGTCTTCGGTTCGCGAGAGGGCGTCGCGGCCGTCATTTTGCGGGTCCAGGTCCGTCGGTTTCGGTCCCAGGCCGTTTTCACTAAGGGGAGGCTTACTAAAGGGAGGTTTGTCCACCGCCGATAAACCACTCGCGCCCAGACGTGCCGGTGGGACTATCCGGGAACGATGCCCAGCGAGTTGCCCAGCGCAGGCATGTGGGGGGCACGTAGTGGAAGCAAGACTGGGGCGCCTTCCTCCTCAGGAGGGAGGGGATGGAGAGGGAACAAGAGGAGGAGAGGGAGGAGGAGGGGGAGGAGCAGGAGGAGGGACGTTGAGGGAGGAGGAAGAATGAGGATGACGCGGATGAGGAAAACTAAGGGGTGAACAGAGAGGCCACAGACCTCTTGGATGCTTCTCGGGGTCCCTTCGGATGTCTCCCGAGAGCTTCTTGTAGGCCTGCTGGGGCGTCTTGGAAGCCTTTTTACGGTCCCAGGGGCCTCTTCCAAGCTTCTTGGGCGCTTCGGGGGAGCCTCTTGGGGTCTCTTGTGAGACTTTTCAGGGCATCTGTCGGGCCTCTTGGGGGCATCTTGGCGGCACTCTTGGGAGCCTCGGAGGCGATTTTGGGGCCATCTTGGGGGTGATCGATCAAAAAAGTGGAAGGTTCCGATTAGCGTCGCCCCTCTGGATCCCCCAAAGTCGCCTCTTGGGGCCCTCCTGTGGCGCTCTAGGGGCGCTATTGGGCACTCTCGGGGAAGTCTTGGGGCCACATTCCCCTCTTGCGGCCATCGTAGGGTCTCACTGAAGCGAATGGGCGCGAGAGCCAACATCATTCATTTCCGTTGGCCTCTTGGGGACCTGAAGGAGCACTTAGGCCTCTTGGACCCGTCTTTGACTGGTGTTGGGGTCTCTTAGAGCATGTTGGAAGCCATCTGGGACGATCTTGCGCTATCTTTGGCCATCTGGAATGTCAGCTTGAGCTCTCGGAGGTCCCCTTGGAGCCATCTTGGGCCATCCCGGACGCTTCCACGACCCGGGCAACCTCCGGTCCATGTCCAGGGGGTGTTGGGAGGGGGAGGGGGGGGGGGGGGGCAAGCCCCCTCCCCGAAGGGGAAGAGGGAAGATGGCACAGGAAGCTCCCTCCGCCACTCACGCCCAGAGGATCTGTTGGATCTGGGGAGGTCCGCACGGATCTCTCCCATCGGTGCCCGGCCTCCTCCCCGGCGCGCAGAGCGCGCCCCAAGAGAGCGGCGCTCGCGGGGCGCCGCCAGGGGCACCCCGGGCGCCAGGCCAAGCAATCCGCGCGGAGCTCCGAGAGTTTGTGTTTATGCTTCCCTCTCCGCTCCTCGAGAAGCAGGAGGGGACAAAAACACGCAGACACAATGAATCTTCGATTCCCCAGACAACTATGGGAAAATATGGGACGTGGGGGGGAAGACAAAAACCCGGAATAGATCGGCAAATGTTGGGCATCTTTTTATTGGTGTGTATGTATTTGTGTGTCCCAGGGCCCATTCAGCCTTCAGAGAAACCCTCGAACCTCGACCGTCAGGAAAGAAAGAGGAGGGAGCCCAGCCCCCATACGCCATGGCACGTTCACAGAATCCGGCCCCCCGAGGTGCCTCCCCGATCCAGCTGGAGCGTCTTCTCTTCCCGAGTCGTTTTTGTTCCGGTCCCGGGGCCCATCGAGGGCTCTCGGAGGCCTACTTCAAAGATCCAAGAGATCCGCGCCCACCTCCGAAAAGGGCATGCTGATGCATTGCTTTCGTATTCGAAGTGTGCTTCTCTACAGGGGCTCATCGTCGTTAATCCTGTCTCCATCCCCACCGGGCCACGGTACCTCAGCCCCACCATCTCTAGGCCTCCTCCATGGGGTCGGAGTAGGTGGCGGTCGGATGATTGTGCCGCATCGGCGATGCATCGGCGATGCAGCTCGATGTGGATCCCAATGTTCTCCATGCCGACGTCGCCGATGCATCGGCGATGCATCGGCGATGCGGGGAGATCCTCCAATCTCTTCTTCTCGGACCCCATGTAGGAGGCCTCTAACCTCAGCCCCACCATCCCCCCCCCCGGTTGGGAAGACGTCCCTCAACACTCGAAGAGCACAGCCCAGAACCCCATCCAGGGGGGGGGGATCGGCCCGTGGGGCCCAGGCCACGCCAGTGGACATGGGGATCAGTGTAACGATGAGGATGACGATGACGATGACGATGACGACGACTACGACGACGGCGACGACGATGAAGATGACGATGACGACCTCGATGACGATGAGGACGACAATGACGACGACGACGACGACGACGGCGATGACGACAACGACGGTGACGATGACGATGACGATGACGACGATGACGATGACGTTCGAAGCCCTGATGTGGGCCCGTGCACGCGCCATCGCCAAGCCGAACCGTGCTATCCGAGAGCTGCTCATCCAACGAAGCTGTGCCCCCATATGGAGCCTGACATCGATGCCCAGACTTTTGGGGGGCTTCGCGGATATTCCTGCTAAAGGCTTCGTCCCCCTTGGGACGGGACATTGGCCATTGCTGGCCCTCCGGACTGGAGCCAAATATGCTGCGTCAAAGCTGCAATGACAACCATGAACATCCCACCTACCTACCCCAAGCTCCTCCTATGCTCGGGCTGGCTGGGCTTGCCAACTGGTCCGAAAGATTTGCTAGAGATCTATACCGAGAAATCCTGTCGCAGGGCACTTCCCTCTTGGCCTGCTGCAGGATGCTTCTGCAATTTTGGAAAGCAGGAAGGGTTACCACCTAGCATTAGTTTTCCTAATTTAGCAGGCGCTTCCCGGTATGAATTCGCATGCCAGGCTCAACGAGTGTTTTGCGACGGCTTTCCATGAACGGATTGGGGATGGCCAGCTGACCAAGAATGTCAGTTGTGCTTACGTTGCGCCCTCCCTGCTTCGGTACTTGCAACAATCAGCTTGCACAAGATAGCCTACGAACGGAGTAGTGGCTGGATTAGGTGGTGGATCGCTGCTGCGGCGATCGCAGTCGTTCTAGTTCGAGTCCCGTCACGCTGAGCCAGCTGTAAGGCGGAGGCGTGCCAGGCAGCCGGCACGCCGGGCACTGAACGTAAATTTTGTCTTGCCCCCTCCCGCACACAATGCGGCTCTCTCCTCGCGCACGGGACGGGGCCTCGGCGCGGCCGCCGTGACGATGTCGCCATCGTCATCGTCATCGTCATCTTCGTCGTCATCAGGGGTGGACCTAAACGGTGGTTGGGCGATTTCGTGGGCCGTTCTCGCTTCGATGTCGTTTTGCGTCAGAGGCGACTGAAGACAACACGAGGGAAAACGAAAACGAAACGAACACGAAAAACACCGTTCAGGTTCAGGCCTGATCGTCCTCGTCGTAGTCGGTGTCATCGTCATCGTCGTCGGCGTGGGCGTCAGCGTCACCGTCGTCGAAGGCCAGATGCGCTCCCTCCGCGCGGGGCGAGCGGATGAACCGCCCGCCGCCGCGCCAGGAGGAGGAGGAGGAGAAAAAGGAGGAGGAGGAGGAGGAGGAGGAGGAGGAGGAGGAGGAGGAGGAGGAGGAGGAGGGGAGGGACGGGGCTTTGGCGCCGCCGCCTCGCCAGGCCGTGGCCGCCGTGCCGGCGGCGCTGCGCCGCCTGGAGCAGCGCCTCGAGGCGGAGCGGCGGAACGTGGACCCGCCCCCCTTCGGGGAGGGGGGAGGGAGATCAGGAGCGACTTCTCCTCCTCATTCTCCTCCCCCTCCTCATCCTCCTCCGCCTCCGCCTCCGCCTCCTCCTCCTCCTCCTCCTCTTCCTCCTCCCCCTCCTCCTCCTCCTCCTCCTCCTCCCCCGCCCCAGGTGGCTTGGCAGCGCGGCCCGCCCGCAGCCATTGCCCCGCGGCGGCCGGCCCGCGGCGCCATAGCCCCCAGGCCCCACGGAGGGCCGCACCAGCCGCAGAGAGCGCTCCCCTGCCTGGCACCGCAGGAGCGCAGGCGGCGATCAAACGCCAGGAGGCGCCTGAGACAAACGAAGGACATCCTCATCTTGCAGAGCCACCACGGCAGCATGGCGCCATCCGTCCAGTGCGCGCGCACGGACTGCAAGGGCTGTGGTGACTACAGATGGGGAAGAAAGAACTGGTGGTGTACCGAATGCTGGAAGACAGCCCGACCTGGTCCACAGTGGTCACAGCCATGGGCAAACAAGAAGCAGCGGAAGAGCTGGAGACGTCAAAGCCATTTTGGCGAGTGGAAAAGCGACGAGGACGCACAGGACGTGAACGTCGATTCCCTCACGAAGACGCTAGAGCAGCTCGTGACGAAGCTGAGCGGTGGCCCGACCAACGCGCTGATCGAGAACCACGTCACGGCGCTGGCAGCGCAGATCGCCAAAGAGAAGGCAGCTCAAGAGCAGGCACCGCAAAAGTCGAAGGCCATGAGACTCGCTGAAGCTGCCAGAGGGTTAGAGCAGGCAAACAGGCGCTACAGCCACAAGCAGACGGTCCACGAGCAGCACCTTGCAAAAGGAGACCGACTACGACTCGAAGCAGAAGAAGCAGCTGAAAAAGTCTTCGAGCCGGAGTACGCGATCCAGAGAATCCATGAAGAAGCGGGAGGCACCCACCAGACGCAAGGGCTCCTGGAGCAGCTTACGCAAGGGGATATCTCAAGACTCACGGAGACGGCCATGAAAAGCATCGAGGACGAACTGGCAGCGGACGAGGAACTGGGTGGCGAGGCCACCGCGGAGGTCGTCAAAGCCAAGCAGGACCTCATACAGAAGATGAAGATCGAAGCGCAGACATTCAAGGGCCACCTGGACACCTTCGTGAAGGACACCAAGGAAAAGGCCAAAGAGCAGCGCAGATAAATACGGCAGAAAACAAAAAAAAGAAAGGCAGACAACGGACAACCCGCAAAAGAAAAGGAACCCACGCCTACAGGCGACCAAGCTAAAAGGGCAACAAGTGCACCAGCGCCGCCAGTTGTTGCCAAGGCGGAGGCAGGTGGCAAGGACAAGAAGCACATGGACGACATCCTGGAGAAGAAGAGGCTCGCGAAGGCCGCGGGCAAGGGCACGATGAAGAAGGAATAGGGCAATGCGTCGGGGAGTAAGCGGAGAGCCGACGCTAACCCCCAAAGACGTCTTTTCTTCGGCAATTACACACAGTGTGGGCCCAAGGCGCACAAATGGTTGCGAAAGGCGTTCGAGAAGAAGCCTGGGGAGGACGGCTACTTCGACGGCTTCGCATTCCGGGAGACGCACCTTGGGCGCGATGAGGTCGAACAGCACGAACTGATTTTACACTACATGGGGTTGAAAGCAGTCGCAAGTGCAGCTAGGCCATCCCGCTCATCTTCAACGGGGACCTACGGCGGTACGAGTATCGCGATCAGGTCGCATCATCAAGCATCGACATTTAGAGAGAATGCCTCACGGGAATCAGTCAGTGGCGCCACGGCTGGCGCCCTTGATGCCCACGAGGACGGTTTGCAATTCTTAGATCGGACGCCAATGGCAGGGCACCTCCAAGGTTTCAGTTTGATAGTTATCAGTATCCACATAGACGGCAACTGCGCGATCCTGAACGGCATCAACGGCAGGAAGATCGCCACGCTCACGAGTTTTCTCCTCGGCATCAGTCAGCCATGGGTTATTGCAGGCGACTGGAATCACTCACCGGAGCAAGTATGGGACATTGGTTGGCCCAACCAGATCGGAGGCAAGGTAATGACCTTGCCAGGGGACTCAAGCACGTGCTTCGAGCGCGGCAGCGAGCCATCGCTCATCGACTTCGCTTTCGTCAGCCACAAAGCGGAGCGCCACATCAGTCACATCGCAGAGATCACAGACGCACCATGGATGCCCCACATTGGCCAATGCTTAGTTATCAACGGGGCCATCCAGTACAACATGATAAGAACGCTTGCGTTGCCAAGAACATTCAGCCACCCGAAGCTTGCCAAGCCCCTGCCCAACCCTGACAGTAAGCGGCAGAAAAAGCTGAGCAAGCAAAAGGTGGCCAAGGGGCAGAGCAAAGCACAGCATGAATCAGACCAGACAACGCAGAAACCAGCACGACAACCTCAAGTCCAATGACGACAAGTACAGCTACCGGCAGAGGCTGCACGATGGGAGGCACTTGCGCCATGTGGTTGGGCAGGGTTCCCTACGGAGGCTATCATCAGCGAGGATGGGAAGGCGAAAGCCTGTAAGACCAAGCCGCCCCCACCTCGTGGAGGTACCCAGGTTGGCGGCCAGGAGGAGGACGTCGACACAGTCGTCGAGCTCGACCACCACCTGGACATAGAGGAGAGCATGTACATGCAACAAAACAGCAGCGGAGACCATGAGGACTCCATGAAAGCACAACCGGCGGCGGAGGATCTCCTTGTTCAACTGGGGGGAGACACCGACCAAGAGGACGAGACAGAGAACAACCCACAGCAAGTGCAGCTCAAGCCAGAGCAGGACATGCCCACCACTTGCATGGACGACCTCTGGCTCTGCATGACGCTGCTACCGACGCATGCGACCACTGCAAGTACATCACCACCCACAAGTATCATGGAGAACGCAGCATACAAGGCCACAGAGGGCGAGGCCGTGGAGCTAGGGGCGCAGTGCGCAAAGCTCATGCAGGACATGGAAAGTTCTAGACGCTTCGCGTATCCCCACCAGCCCGTCCAGAAAAGCCGCCCAGGCGAGTAGAGGGTCGTCCTGAGGGGCTTTTCGGCGTCTTGGGTGCGTCGGGGGGGCCTCTGTGGGCCGTTCGGGATCCTCTTTGGAGCCTTCTGGGGGCCTCTTGGGGCCACTTGGGGCCATCTTGGGGCCTCTGGGAGCACCTTGGGTGCCTCTGGGGGGGGGGGGGGGGGGGGGGGGGGGGTCTCTCGGGGCCTCTTGGGGGTCTCTTGGGGGCCTCTCTTTGGGGGCGTCTTGGGGTCACCTTGGGGCCATCCTGCGGCCTCTTGGGGCATCCTGGGGGCCTCTTGCGGCCATCGTGGAGGAAATCTATCAAAGAAGAGGGGTTCCTTAATTCGAGCCCCCCCCCCCAGGAGCCGCGATCCTCGTGAGGGGTGTCGAATTCTAGCCTTCCCAGGGGTCGATCTTGGGCGCTCCAGCGCGCCGCAGAAACCCCTGTCCAGGTCAGTGGGGAGGGGGTAGGGGGAGGGGTAAACCCCTCCCCGAAGGGGGAGAAGGAGGGGTGGGGGAGAAGAAGAAGAAGAAGAATAATAATAAGAAGAAACAAAAAAAGGGGGGGGGGGGAAACACACAAAAAAAAAAAAAAAAAACGCACCGAATCGACGACGCCCAGAGGGCTGGTGAGACATCAACTGCGCAGCCTACCACTTCCCGATCATGGAAAATGTTCAAGGGAAGAGGCCCGCCGAACAAGCCCAAATGCAAATAGCAAAAAGAACGGGAACCCAGACGTGCACGCTACACGGACCACAGCGCAGATTGGAGGCACAGAACGGCGAACACCCTGAACACCATCGAGCAGCTCAAGAAGCGCAACCGTGGGAAATACATGCAGGACAGGGCAGCCACAACATGCAGGCTGCTGGCGGTGGAGGGACTACCACCACTTGGCCACCAAGCATCGGCAACGGCAAGACTTCGCAGACAAATCTGGAATACACGGCTGCTCAACATCGACAAGCAGGACATCAACATAATTGAAGGCATGCGAATACAGGCAGACCAACAAGCGCATGCAGCACTCAAAGAAGACATTGCGAAGGGCAGGAAGGCTTACATCAAGTGGATCACGACATCAGCGAAAGAAGCGCCAGGGATAATGCACGCCATCACGAAGGGCGGCAAACGCTACGAGCAGGAATTCTTGCACGAGCGGGATAAGAAGCATTCTCCAATGGGCAAGATGGACACCAAGCTCGAAATTCGAGAACATCTGGCACAAAGGGGCACACCATTGCAGACGTGGAGCTACTACAAGACTTACGACGAGCAGCACAACGTACGGAGGCACCGACATGGACACTAGAGCAGCTGGACCAGGCAATCCAAGGGGCACCAGACAAAGGAAAAGGGGTAGACCAGATGTGCATGTCGGACCTACGTCGCCTTCCAGCTCAGGGACGCAACAGCTTCGTGAATGTGCGCAACGAGTGCGAGAAGGCCATCGCATGGCCTTGGCAAGTACTGGAGGCGTTTGTCATGCTCGAGGCTAAGGGAGACAGCCAACCAGCGCTCCACGCAGTCAGCACAGGAGGGGACAGAGCACTAGCACTACTCAGCTGGTTTGGTAGATGCTGGGAACTACTTAATCGAAAACAAGTACGGGACTGGTTAAGGTGATCAAGTTGCCGCGGGGCGCAGCAGTACCAGGACAGAGCTGCCTGAGAGAGGCCATGCTCAGAATCACCGGCGACGAGGCAGTGGGCGCCCTAGGAGCAACGACGGCAGGTGCACTCATAGATGTCGAGAGGTTCTATAACAACGTAGAGTTCGAGTACACAGCTCGTGCAGCGTAACGCTACAATTTCCCAGCACGCATATTGGCCATGCCATTACTCCAGCACATGGCGTCGAGGTTACTTCGACAAGACGGATGCTACAGCGAACGCGCGTTGGCCAGCAAGTCCTTGTTGGCGGGCTCTAGGTACAGCAACAACCTGGCGCGGGCCCTGGTCTAAGTCACGATCACGAAGCACCTGGGCGAGGAGCCGATGTCAAACCCCAGAATCTGGTTCGACGACATTAGCCTCAGAGCCACTGACAGCCAGACGTCGGTGGCGAGCGACATCGTGAACCAGGTCACGCCACTCAAAGCACAGCTGGAAAGGAACAAACTGAAGATGGCAGCAAAGTCGGTAGTCTTCGGCCCCACCAGCAAGAGCAAAGCGAACGTCGCCAAGCAGCTCGCCAAGCGCAACATCAAGGTCAAGCCAGTGAAAGAAGGGCGAGACCTGGGGCTCGACAGAGGCGCGAAGCTCACCACATCGCGAGCGGCGCACAGGGCCAGAAAGATAACAGCAGGGAATAGATTCAACAAGGCCGGCAAGAAACTGAGGCTGTTGAACGCCAAGCAAATCAAGGGCATCGTAGAGCAAGGGGCAATGGCGTCGGTGCTCTACGGATGCAAAGCGTTTGGCAGTCCACCATCGGAAAGCAAACACATCGGAAGACAATATGGTAAAGCACTCAGACGTACGTGGGCATGTAGGTGCTTGAGCACTCTACTGGCGTTGGAAGGGAATGACCCAGCACGAACGATTCCACGCGCCCAAATCACATGCTGGTTCGACCTATGGGCGAGACACTCCGAGATCCATGACGCGGTCCACAGAGCATGGCCAAACATCCGTCGGATAATGCTACAAGGCACGCGCAAAGGGAGATGGAGAAAAAGAAGGGGCATCATCGGCGGCCCGATCTTGCAGTTGACAGAGCTAGGCTGGGACCCTGAACGCCGACGAGATGGACAGACAGCAACGGTGATCAATGGGCCATGGAAGCAGGACACGAGGGGGGCCCGACAGACGTCATCGACCACAGCATGAAGGACGTGGAACGCAACATCTGGGCAAAAGGCTTCGAGACACCACAACGGGAAAGGTCTCGAGCAGGAAGCGGAATTCACAGACGTCAAAAAGCAGATCAACATGCTCAAGAAGAAAGAGAAGTACCAGGAATACGGGGCCTTGCTCGTGGCGGTCTGTGGAGGCACCTGGACTGGGGCGAGAAAGGCAGGGGCATTCGGGACTACAGGAACATGCAGGCGCGGGGCGCAGGACACAGACTACCACCGCACCTGGGGGAATTGCGAACAAAGCGATCACAAAGACTACAGAGCCACGGACCACCTGGTGGAGCGGGCCAAAGAAGGGGCAGCAGCACTTCCAGCACTATGGCTCAGAGGCATACCGCCCACTAGCTGGACCACGCCAGCGGCATGCTCGACAGAGGGCACGCTACAACTTCCCCTTCCAAACGAAGAAGCAGGCATTATCAAGTTACACGGCAGCGAAGACACCCATTCTGCATTCGCGGCGACGGCAGCGGTGGAGCTCAGGCGGACGACAGACGGCGCAGAAGATGCGGTTGGGGATGGGCAGCCATCAACGAGCACAGCATGGCCATAGAGGAAGAGCGCAGTGGACCGCTACCAGGAGCGAGGCAGACCAACAACAGCGCGAAGATGTACTCGATGATCGACGCCCTGGCACACTCAACGGGTGACATCACGTTCTGGACAGACTCAGACGTGTTGCGCAGAGGGTGGCGCAAGCAAAGGTACCAGAACAACGCCTACACCAGGACAAACGGCGACCTGTGGAAGAAGCTGGGGCAAGCCATAGTACAGAGGAGAAGCGCACATCAAGGTCAAGCACATCGGGAGCCACTTGAAATGGGAAGAGGCGCAGTTGAAGCAGCACCCAAGGTCAGCTTGGGAGGGCAACAAAAGGGCGGACACACTGGCAGGCGAGGCAGCGGAACAGCACAGCATCCCCAATAATGAGCAGGAGTGCTACAACTGGGCCAACGCGGTCGGCTTCCTTATACGCAAACGTATATGCCGAGCTACAGCGCAAGCCATAGAAAGAGACCCCTCCATGACGATGGACGAGAAACAGCTTCGACGTGAGCAAAAGGCAAAATAAAAAAAGAAAGGCAATCCAAGGAGGACATCGAGAAGCTGCTTGAGGGTACCGCGCGCAAGAATGACAGAACCAAAGGCAAATGGTCGTGCTGCAAGTGTGCTGAATCGCGCGTGGAATTCGGACCCAACAAAAAAGGCATTCAAATAGTGGCCGAAGAAAAAGTGCATAGTTGCAACAGAGGGAACGATATTTAACAGACACCAGATCATGGCAAGGGCGGCGGCTGCACACCCGTCCCACGACATGCGGCACGCAACGAGAGCGAGGAATTGGTTCTGCTGGCATTGCGCAGCAAGTGTGACCAGGCCCGAGGCGAACACCACTCAAATAATAAGCCACAAGCTGCAGGGACCATGCGAAAGGAAAGCATCGAAAGGGATGGAGCACATTCTGAAGGCCTACCAGAAGCAAGTGGAGAGACATTGAAAGGACTTTGTTCAGGGGGCCCTCCGCCCCGCCTACTGAGAACCAGTAGGCTAATTGGAGGGTTCGTCGCCACGTGCTGGACAGACCCCCTTGGGTGTCAAGGCGCTGGTCACCTCAGCCGAGGCAGACGGTACCCGGCCCTTGGGTGACATCCCGTCGCAGTTTTGCTGAGAGACTCGCAGAAGTTTGGAGTATATCGCAAACGAAGAAGTTCAGGAAAGGCTAGAGATAAGAAGGTGAAGGGCGAGGGGCCAGAAGGGGCCGCCTCGTCGCAAAGACAAAGAGAGAAGATCAGGGTGCCAAAGGCAGCCGTGATGCAAAGACAAAGAAGAGAAGGTCGGGGGCCCAAAGGGGGCTGCCCGACGCAAAGAAAAGAGAGAAGGTCAAGGGCCCAAAGGGGGCTGCCAGGCGCAAACAAGAAGAGAAGGCCTGGGGGCCCAAAGGGGGCCGCCCAGGCGCAAAGAGAGAAGGTCTGGGGGCCCACAAGGGCCGCCCAGACGCACAGATCGGCCGCGGGCGCGCGGCGCGCCCGCCGCGGGACTGTGCGGCGGGCGGACGGGACAGCGTCCCGACCGAACTCCCCGAACTCCTCCTCCCCCTCCCCCTCCCCCCCCTTTCCCCCTCCTCCTCCTCCTCCTCCTCCTCCTCCTCCTCCTCCTCCTCCTCGTCCTCCTCCTCCTCCTCCTCCTGCTCCTCCTCCTCCTCCTCCTCCTCCTGCCCTCCTCCCCCCTCCCTCCTCCTCCTCCTCCCCTCCTCCCTCCTCCTCCTCCTCCTCCTCCTCCTCCTCCTCCTCCTCCTCCTCCTCCTCCTCCTCCTCCTCCTCCCCCCTCCTCCTTCCTCCTCCTCCTCCTCCCTCCTCCTCCCTCCTCCTCCTTCTCCTCCTCCTCCTCTCCTCCTCCCCCTCCTCCTCTTTTGGCCTGGTGCCTGGTTCTCGGAGCCCCTCGTCGTCATCGGAACCCTCGGAACCCTCCTCCTCCTCCGCCTCCTCCTCCTCCTCCTTCTCCTCCTTCTCTTCCTCCTCCTGCTCCACAATTGCACAATCTGAACACCACCCTCCTCTCCCTGGTGACGTCCAGGAAATAGCGGGCCCCCCTCCGCGTGCGGTTTTCTACACAGGATTCCCTTGAAACGGGTTTTCGTTTGGGATGTGTTTCGAAATGCAGCTGTCGCTGAGGCGCTGGCTTTCTTTTCGGGCCACCGCTCGTTCCGAATCGTGCTCCCGCGGTGCAGCGTTGGCGTCATCAGTTCCAGTGCCATGCCACGGCATGATGTCGGCCCTTCCAAATCGGCCCCAACATCGAGAAGATGGCCTCCCAAAGAAACCATCTGAACAGATTACACATTCGTTGTCGCTTCGTTCATTCTAGAGGCTTACGCCGCATATGCCGACCCCTCGTTAAACTATTGCGCTTCCAGGACTGCATTCCACGAGGCGTGTCCGAATCATAACACGGCGCTCGACATCGTTCCTGTTGCCTCTATGCTGTTGTCGTATTTTCTGGGACCCACGCTTCGTCCCGATCCGTTCCCTGGCGGCCCCTGGTGGGCTCGGAGACGGCTTCCCGTTGCACGCCGAGGGTGTCATTTTTTTTTCTGCGGGCGGCAATCATATTCGTACCCGTGGCATTTCCGGGGATGCCCCGCGCGTAACCAATCCGCGCGACGCGTATCCGCGGGATCGTGCCCCAGAATCCACACCTAAGTACCCTTCCCTCGTTTTCGCCTGTCTCGGCCTCTGAGAGGTCCTCGTCGCCATCGCTGGATTCGCCTCGACATTTTGGTCAGAACGCACCCCGGGAGGAGGAGGAGGAGCAGGGAGGAGGAGGATATGGGTGTGAAGAAGGCGACGACGGCGACGACGACGACCATGGGCCAGGGTGTTGTGGTTGGCTTCTCGGGGATCTCCGGGAGGCAGGCTCGAGGCCGCTGGGGCGCAATTTTGGGGCTTCTGGGAGGCTCTTTTGGCTCTTTTGGGGGACTCCTGGGGCATTTCGGGGAGCTTCCTGGGGGTCCCATTGGAGTTTCTTGGGGGCCTTTTGGGGCATCCTGGCGGCTTCTTGGGGCGGAGCGCTGGAGCTTTCGGTTTGCGTCCCCCGTCTAAGCCCCCTCTTGGGCCCGTCTTGGGGCTCTCTTGGGCTGTCTTGGGCGCCTCTTGGGCCGTCTTCGGGCCCTCCTGGGCCGTCTTGGAGCCCGCTTTGAGGCTCTTGGGCTGTCTTGGGGCGGTCATGGGGTCGTCTGGGCGGACGGGTAGCCGGAAAGGCGAGTTTGTTTAAAATGTACGTTTTACACAGAGAATGGAACCATGTTCGTGTCGGGGGAGGCCCTCTTGGGATGCATCTTCGGGCCTCTTGGGGTGTTTTGGGGGCATCGGAGGCTGTCTGGAGATCATCTTCAGCGTCTTGGAGTGGTGTTTCGGCGACTCGTGGCCCTCTTGGGCCGTCTGGGAGGCGTCCTGGTTTTGGACCCCCCCCGTGGCGCGCATTGTCCGGGGTCGTACCGGGCCCAGGGGGGTAGGGTCGAATTGCCGGTTTGGGGTCTGCATGGGGGGGATTATGGGGGGGGGGGTATCTCACAGGGCTAGAGACCCGCAAGGGGTCGGCAGATTTGGTGGGCCGCTGAAGCCACCCCCCACATTGGGGCGTCGCCACATCTTGCTATGTCATGCTGCGCGTTGATCTGCAACACCATGCTGTGCCATGTAATGCTATGCCATGCTACGACATCAAATTGTGCGAATCGAGAAGAGATCTACGCCATGGTAAGGGATGGGAGGGAGGGGTAGAACGTCAGATATGATGCCAGCGCGCCTGGTTCGCCCTCCTGCCCTTCCGCTCCTCCGCCGCCTCCGCCTCCGCCTCTCAATGCTACGCCTTTTTCCGAGAGGCGAACGATCACCGAGCGTGTTCCACTATTCGTTCGGGGGACCTTCCTGGGGCCCACCTGACGGATCTGTTCGACACCAGTTCGACCCCAGTCCGACTCCAGTTCGACTTAAGGTCGAGTCAAGTTCGACGCCAGTTCGACTCAAGGTCGATTCAGATTCGACTCAGATTCGATTCAAGTTCGATTCAGGTTCGATTCAGGGTCGACTCGAATCGATGGGCGTTCGACGCAGCTTCGACGCACGAGGGGGGCGAGTGTCTCCAAGAAGGTCCCGCGAAGGAGCATCCAGCAGGAGCGAGCGAGAGGCTTACGTCTGGGCCTCATGTCTTCCGAAAGGCTAACCAATACCGAGCGCGCTGCACGACTCGCCGTGTGCCTGCTCTCAGACCTCCGACAAAAGCGGGTGTTCCTCGTTATGTAATGAATCGTAGTTCCCCCGTGGCGAATCCGGGCTATTTGCGATCATTTTTTTTGCGAGTAGTGAAGCGCGCTTGACAAACAAAGAAGAAATGGCACGCCAGGAAGGGGAGTGCAGCGCAGATCCAAGAAACCCGCGAGGACGTCAAAAGTTTGGGTTTATGCAGGTTGTTCCCCTCATGTCCTAAGACGGGGTCCGAGTACATGGGTCGGAGGATAGCGCCGCCTCGCCGGCGCATTGTCGAGGTCACCACGCGGTCCGTCACCTCACGGTCGTGGAGCCCATGAGAGGAAGAGAGAGAGAGAGAGAGAGAAAAAAAAAGACACTGTCAGTGACAAAGTGTCCGGACCTGCCTATAGCAGCACTAAATTTTGTTCCCCCTCCTTCTCTCGCCATCTTCCTCCCTCTCGAACTCCGTCTGTGTCTGTGCCTTTCTGTGGGTCTCTTCTCTCTTGAGACTCGATCAATGTATAGAATTGCCCCTCTATCTTCTATCACTGTGTTCTCTCTATCTCTTTCTCTCTCTCTCTCTATGTCTCTCTCTCTCTCTCTCTCTCTTGCACTTTCTATATCGGTATCTATGCATGTATACACAGCTGAGGAGGCTCCCGAGGGGGAGAAGCGGCACCCCTCCCTTGTGGTCACAGTGTTCTACAGTTCTGTTGGCCGACGCCGCCTGCCGAAGGCTCGGGGCAACTGCGTGGACGGCACAGGCATTCAGTTGCATGACACTCCTGCCCTGCACCTTCTCCGTGGCTCTCTGGGCCTTGCTTGGCCGATTCCCCTGGCGCCCTCCGGTGTTCTCCTCTGTCTGCTCGTTCTCTGGCCCACCTTGATACTATCAATCCCATCCTGTGCCGGGCTCGCCTGGCCGATCCGATCCGATTTCGACATTCTGTCGATGCATCCTGGCGCAACTAATTCCAGTCGATGCTGACGACTCGACGAGGCGGCCCGAGTCGACGCAATTTCCGATCCGATCCGACTTTTCCAGTACAGTTTAGGCGATGTTTAAGAAAACCCAAGTTTTCGGCCAGAGTCTCGATGATTCTTAATGTTTCAATGAAAATCCTAAGATTTTAATAGAAATGTTGGGTTTTTTTTTCTGACAGCTTTTGCTTTTCACGGTACACCTTAGGCGATGCTTAAGAAAACTTAAAGTTTCGGCCAGAGTCTCGATGGTTCTCAATGTTTCCATGTAAATCCTAAGATGTTCATAGAAATGCTGGCTGTTTTTTATTCAAGTTCTGAGACTATGAATTTCTGAACCCATGATTTCTTAAGCATTTCGCAGGGTGTACAATTTTCTGACAGCTTTTGCTGTTCACGGTAAGCCGGTCGTGGGCATCGGACGGGGCTCGGACGAGGACAAATCCGATCCAGAGTCTTCGGAACGATTTCAGAGCTGGCCGCGACGTCCGGTACGTGTGCCAGAGCCGTCAGAGCTCAGAGATCCTCTATTCATTCTCATCCGAATTGATGTACACTACTCCTCCCTCCTCCCTCCCTCCCTCCCTCCCTTCCTCCCTCCCTCCCTCCTCCCTCCTCCCCATGTCGTGCCTGGACCAAGTGGGTGCTGCTACCAGCAGCGCCCTCTGGTCTCGCGCCCTCGCCTGCGAGCGTGCGCCCGATCCCGACGCCTGGGATGGAGGCGCTGCCCGCTCGGGTCTGGCAGCGCCGGGAGGCCGCCGCGGCCACGAGAGAGCGTGCCGTCCGGGAGAGCGTGCGGCAGCCGAGCCGAGGTTTATATGAGATCGAGGCCGGTTCGGGGAGGGCATTCCAGTCAGAGCCCCGGATTATCAGGGGTAGCTCGGGTCAGGGCTAGCCGAACCCGAGTTACCCCGGACCCGAGTTGCCCCGGATAATTCGGGCGTCCAGAGCCCCAAATCATCAGGGATAACTCGGGTCAGGTTTAACTCGGGTTCCTTTTTCGGGAATCCAAGCCCGAGTTACCCCGGACCTGAGTTACCCCGGATAAGTCGGGCGCCCAATCCAGTGTTCTTCGTGCCGGTTGGATGCCCCTTGTGCCTCCGGGTGGAGGGTGAGTGTTTTCGGGTGGTCTTGTGTGTTAGGGTCTTGGCATCGCTCGGACGTGTGCATGTTTCCTTCGGCGAGGACCGAAACCGCCAAAAAACACGGATTTCACGTCCGAGCGATGGCGAGGGGTCGTTCTGGCCGGCGGAGGCTCTCGCGTTCGTCCAGGATGGCATTCAGGTCTGACCGTATGCTTTGCTACTTTCTGCCTTGGGTCGGCGGCGAGCCCGGGGGGGAAGTGAGAAGGGTCAGGAGGGAAAAAAACACAGACACAATGAATCGTCGATTCCCCAGAAAATATGGGAGACTCTGGGAAGTGGGGGGAAGACAAAAACTAATAAAATACGGAAAACTATGGGGAATCGTGTTATTTGCGTCTGTTCATTTGTAAGAGCGCGTTCTGTGGTCGCTTGGTGAAACCGGACTCCCCCCCTCCCTCCTCTGCGTCTCCTCTCCTCGGGCCGGCGCTTGTGTCGGCGGCTGGCGACGGCGGCGGGGACGACGATTTCCATTTCTGGGCCGGCGCCGGCGCCTGCTGCGGCGGGCGGCAGTGGCGGGGAGCGTCGACGAGGACGACGGTGGTTTGTGGTGGTGGTGGTGGTGATGGTGGTGTGGTGGTTTGAGGTGGTGGTGGTGGGTTGTGCTGCTGGTAGTGGTGGTGGTTGTGGCGGTGGTGGTGGTTGTGTGGTAGATTGGTGGTGGTGGTAGTGGTGGTGGGTTTTTGTTGTGGCGGTGGTGGTGGTGATGGTGAGTTGTGGTGGTGGTTGTGGTGGTGGTGGTGGCTGTGGTCGTGGTGGTTGTGTGGTGCTGTTGGTGGTGGTGGTGGGTTGAGGCTGTGGTGGTGGTGGTAGTGGTGGTTGTGGTAGTGGTGGTAAGTGTCGCTGCGTCCCCGCCGTCGCCGGCGCCAGCGCCGGCGCTGCTGGCCGCCGCCCGCGCTCGCGCCGGCGCGAGGGGGGGGGGGGTCAAACCCTTTCCCCCCCCCTCCCTTGGCGCTGCCTCTGGTCATCGTCGCTGCGTCCCTGCTGGGCGCTGCTGGCGGCTGCCAGCGCCGGCGCCGGCGCCGAAGGGGGGGGGAGTGGTTTGAACCCCCCCCCACTTGGGAGGGGGGGGGGTCGGGAGGGGGGGGGGCTGGGGCTGAGGGGAGTCCCCCTGGTTTTGATCGACGGCGCCGAGTGTTGGGGGGGGGGGCACCCCCCGTTTCGAGATGCGCCGCCGACTGTTCCCCTTCGAAGGGGCGTGCCTTCTCAGAAGCCTCGCAAGACAAGTCCCCCCAGACTCGTGAGAGTGTTCTAAGCCCTCTCCCAGGACACGGGAAGCTTCTCAGAAGGCGCGAGGGCTTCTGAGAAGTCCCGCCGCCTTCTGACAAGGCCTTCTCCTTCGGTCGCATATTGTGGGAGCCTGGTATACCGTTTCAAGTCCGTATTTCGCGTCGAGTCGTGCCAATTTGCGTCTGGTCGTCGATGAGATCGCTCCCTTCTGGCATTGGTTTAGCGTCGATTAGCGTCGATGTAGCGTCGACGAGCGTCGACGTAGCGTCGATCAGCACCGATTTAGCGTCGAGTAGCGTCGATTCGCGAGAACCGACACGATGGTATGGAAGGCTCCCATGAGTTGCCACCGCGTTTCCCTTCTCACTTCCCCCCCTCGCTCGCCACCAACTTGGAGCCTCCGAGGAGAGCTTCCTCCACACATCGGCGATGCGCCGGCGATACATCGGCGATGCACCGGCGATGCATGGGCGACGTCGGCGATGCATCGGCGCCCTCGGCGTGGAGAACATCGGGCTCCACATCGAGCCTCACCGGCGATATTCCGAGCCCGTCCAGGAAGCCTACAGTCGGGCCGTTGAAGAAGGAACCCGTTTCGTTGGGGAGGGTCTCGGTGTGCCTCCATGTAGTTTCCAGGTGTTCTTAGTTTTTCTTGGGGAAATCGAACTTTCCCTTCTGGGGAAAAGTGGCCTCGTTCCTTATATTTGGGGCTCCTAGAGCCTTGGTAGGGAACCGAAAAATGGCATAAACATAACAACTCTGAGGTCCGCGCTGATTTCTTGGATCCGCGCCTGACCCCCCTCCATGGCGCGCGGAGCGCGCCAGGGGCGACGCCGGAGGCGCCGCCGGGGGGCCCCAGCGCCGATCCGAGAAACTCGCGCGGACCCCCGTGAGTGTTTATGTTTATGCCATTGTTCTGCGTGCAGTACTTATATCTATATCCAGAGCGTCGTGGACTTTTTGGGAAGAGGTGCCGCAACGCCGAGGCGCACTGGATATGGATAAAATCAAGCCTCTTGGGGCCAGATGTGTATCCATACCCGGTGCGTCTCTGGTTTCTGGGGAAGAGAGCCCGAGAATCCAAGACGCACTGGATGTGGATATAACTATTGCCCGCACGTTCGTGTCCCTGCTTGGGGCCTCCGAGGGGAGCCTCCTCCGCCCAGGGCCGCTCGGGCCCCAGCAGGGGGCGCGCCGTCCGGTGCCTCCGGCCGCGGCGCGCCTTTGCGGGGGCCGCGCGCGGGCCTGCCAGCCTCCGTTCGGTCTTCTCGGCCCCCCCCCGCCGTCCATCGGGGGCGGCAGAGAGGGGGGTGATAACCCCTCCTCCCTCCCTTCCTGCCTCCACCCCTCCTCCTCCTCCTCCTCCTCCTCCTCCTCCTCCTCCTCCTCCTCCCCTCCTCCTCCTCCTCCTCCTCCTCCTCCTCCTCCTCCTCCTCTCCTCCTCCTCCTCCTCCTCCTCCTCCTCCTCCTCCTCCTCCTCCTCCCCTCCTCCCCTCCTCCTCCTCCTCCTCCTCCACTCCTCCTCCACCTCCTCCTCCTCCTCCTCCTCCTCCTCCTCCTCCTCCTCCTCCTCCTCCTCCTCCTCCTTGAAGTTCGAAGAAGAAGAAGAAGAAGAAGAAACGCAAGCATGGATTTAATCGGGGGCGGCAAAGGGGGGTGAGGACTAGGGGGGGTGGATATCATGGCGGGGGCCATGATATTTCTCCAGATTTCATGGCGCCTCTTCTTATTTCATTACGGCCCTGGTCCCCCCGCTGGGCCGCGCACGTGCAGCCGCTCATGATTAGCACCCCCCTTCTCTTGGACAATCCCCTCTTGGCCGCTCCCGACTCAAGGCAGGAAGAAAAACCCGGACCGGACAATTGGTGTGAATTACATGGCCCTGGGCGTTTACGAAACAGCCTTGCCCTGTTTGATTCCTTCTTCGGGTGCGTTTACTGAACGGTTGCGCGTGCCGGGGTGGTTCTTCTCGGGGTGGATGTTCTGCCCTCTACCCCCGCCCGACATGCGGGTCTTCGGGTTGGGTCAGGGGTTGTCTGGTCGGCAGCCATCGGGGGTGGACAGAACCTCCAACAGGGACACGTCGATTAGTGAATTGTCCGTGTTCGGCTCGAGAGGGCGCCGTGGCCGTCACTCGTCAGGCCTGCACCCGCCAGGTTTGGGCTGCGGGTCGTTTTCACTAAACCACGTTTTGCTAAAGGGGGGTCTGTCCGTCCCCGAGTGCTTGATTGCCCCGGGGCCCAAAAACTGGCCCTGGGGGCCGCAGGCGAGGAAGCTCGCCCGGACTGAACAAAAGCACATCGCCGGAGATCTGGTGCAGGGAGTTGCCTGCTCCTCCTCCTCCCCCTCCCCCTCCCCCTCCCCTCCCCCTCCCCCTCCGCCTCCTCCTCCTCCTCTCCTCCTCCTCCTCCTCCTCCTCCTCCACCTCCTCCCTCTCCTCCTCCCCCTCCTCCTCTCCCCCTCCCCTCCTCCTCCTCCTCCTCCTCCTCCTCCGCCTCCTCCTCCTCCTCCTCCTCCTCCTCCTCCTCCTCGGGTCTGTCCGTCCCCGGAGCCAGCTGCCCCCCCCGCCCGCCCAGGAGCGGCAGCTGCAGAGGCTGGAACGGCGCGTGGAGGAGGCGCGCCGCGGGCCTCGCCGCGGGCGGCGCGCTGGGGGGAGACCTCGCCCTCCTCCTCCCCCTTTTATCCTCCTCCTCCCCTTTTATCCTCCTCCTCCCCCTTTATCCTCCTCCTCCTCCTCCTTATCCTCCTCCTCCTTATCTCCTCCTCCTCCTCCTCCTCCTCCTCCTCCTCCTCCTCCTCCTCCTCCTCCGGCCAGTCTCCTCCCTCTTCCACCTCTCCCTCACCCTGTGACGCTTTTGCGGCCAAGTGGTCCTGGGATGTTTGCAGAGAGGGAGGTCGCGTCAAGTTTCAGATCGGGTCTCTTCGTTTTCATGCTGGCCCCGTCAGGCCAACCCGAGTCCCCCGTACCCAATTCTTACGTCTGCCCGATCGCAGACCGCCTCCCGTCGCTCGAAGAAGAAGAAGCAATGGCATAATCATGAATCGGGCATGTCCGCGCCTCCGTCGCCGCCCCTGGCGCGCGCCGCGCGCCAGGGCGGGGGGTATCCAGCACAGATCCAAGGAGTCCGCGCGGAGCGCCCACATTGTATATTTATGCAGGTTTTTCTTGGATTATCCTCCTCCCCAGACCGCGTCGCGTCGTGAACAGGGCACGGCGCGAGCTTCTTCTGCATTTTCCAGGAAGGGGCGTAGGCCCAGCTTTCTCTTTTAGAGGTTAGTCCCCCAGCCTCGACAAGAAGGAGGTTGGCGCTAAATAGCGATGTCGAAGAGGAACGGCGGAGATTAGTTTTGAGGGTGTCCTTCGCGAAACGCTGGGATTATGTTCATTAGTTGAGGATGTCTCAGGCGAATCGCTGGTTTTGCAGAGGTGGGGAGTGTCTCCAGCGGGGGCCTCGTGGGGGGCCAGAATTCCTTGGATGTCCCAGGCAGAATGCTGGTTTCCACTTGCCCAGGTCGCCAGGGGGGGTCTTTGACATGGTGGCTCCGAGCTGGAGCCGCGTGTTTTTTTAGCTTATGCTTGCTCCGCTCCGGCGCTAAAGGGACCCACGTGGTTTCAGGCTTGTTCCGCTCTGGGGCGAAGGGAGCCCACGTGGTTTCACGCTTGTTGTGCTCGCGCGCGAAAGGGACCCACGTGCTTTCAGGCTTCTTCCGCTCTGGGGCGAAGGGGACTCTCGTGTTTTGATGCTTGTTCCGCCCTGGGGCGAAGGGGTCACACGTGTTTTCTCGCTTGTTCCGCTCAGGGGCAAAATGGGCCCACGTGTTTTCACGCTTGTTCCGCTCAGGGGAGCAAAGGACCCACGTGTTTTCACGCTTGTTTCTTTCTGGCGCGACATGGACCCACGTGTTTTTACGCTTGTTCGCTCTGGCGCGAAAGGGACCCACGTGTTTTGACGCGTGTCTCGCTCCGGCGCGAAAGGGACCCACGTTTTTCCACGCTTGTTCCACTGTTTGAGGAGGTGTCGAGCGGGTCTTCTCGTCGTCTGGGTGTTTTTCGTTTTGGTTCGGGTTCGTCCCTTGATCGGTTCGTCAAACTTCGGAACTGAATCGGATCTTGAGTTCGAGCTGCTCGGACGCCCCGCATGTTTCTCTCCGGGGGTCTCCCCGGACTGTCGTGGTCGCGCTCGGTTCGCTCCGTTGCGGAATCTATGTCTCGGGCGATGGTTTCGGAATTGAGTCGGATCTGGAGCTCGAGCTGGTCGAGCGCCCCGCGCGTCTCCACTACAACTAGCCCGAGCTATGCGTGCAGGCAGTTCAAGCTTAAGATCCAAATCCCCTCGGCCACGATTCTTACGCCAAGGACGGCTTGAGTCACAATGAATTAGGGTGCGGCACGGTTCAACCCGGCGTGACACGTTGAACTTAGCAGCACAGCGCGGCACAGCACGGCGGAGTATGGTACAGCACGTGGAACGGTACACCACGGTCGTTGCGTTGAGCGTTGTAATTGCCCGTCGCCCAAAGTTTGACATTTTGGAAACGATGCCATGCTTCACGTTTCTGTCTCCCTTTTTGTTTCTGGGTTCGTGGGTCCATCATGTTTGCAGCTGAAGCGTTCTTGGGAGTATGCCGAAGGGACGATGAAGGCATTCTGAAGGTACGCCGGATAGACAGGAGCGGGGGAGGGGCGGGGTCAGACCCCCCACGGTTCCCGCTCCCCTGGACCACCGCTCCCTCGGACCCCGCGCACCCAGAAAGGGGTCGGGGGCGGACGGAACCCCCAACAGGGACACGTCGATCAGTGCATTGTCCGCGTTCGGCCCTCGGGAGGGCGCCGTGGCCGTCATTCTCCAGGCTTGCGCCCGCCAGGTTTGGGTCTCAGGTCGTTCTCACTAGGCCACGTTTTACTCAAGGGAGGTCTGTCCATCCCCGAAAGGGGCCACACGCGACGGACCCAGAAACGAACGCATTGCGGCGGGGCCGCGCGCCCAGGTCACCCCCCAAGGCCACGATCTTTCATAAAGTGAACAGCGTCCGCCCCCCATGAGCCACGACCACTCGTAAACTACGCTGCGCCCGCGTTCCCAGGACAGAGATCCTTCGTAAATCACGCGGCGTCCGCGCTCCCAGGGCCGCGACCCCTGTGGATTACGCGGGAGTCACGCTCCCAGGGCAACGATTCCTTGTAAGTTCGGCTGTGTCCCCGCTCCCAGGGGCAAGATCCTTGGTCAATTGCGTTGCCCACCCCTCCCTTCCCCCAGAGCCAGGACCACTGTTAAATTACAATGGGTTCGCGTTCTGAGGGCCACGATCCTTTGTAGATTCCGCTTGGTTCGCGCTCCCATGGCGACGATCCATCGTAGATTACGTTGCGTCCGTTCTCCAAAGGCAACGGTCCATCGTACATAACGCAGCGTTCGCGCTCCCAGTGCCACGACCCCTTGTACAATTGCAAAGATGCGCTGTAAATTACGTTCAGCCCTTGGTCAGGTACGCAGGTATGCCAAAGGTACTCTGAATGCACGCTGGGCACAATCGGTGAAGGTACGCCGAAGGTACGTTGACGGTCCGCGGTTTCTCGCTTGCTTTTCGTCATTGAAGGTGCGCAGAAGGCATGGTGAACGTACGCGTGTCCGAAGCAGCGAAGCTCCGTTGAAGGTGCGCCGCAGGCAGACATAGGGAAACGGAAAGTGATATGAGCATGACAACTCGGAGCTCCGCGCGGACTTCTTGGATCCGCACTGGACCCCCCTCCCCTGGCGCGCGGGGCGCGCCAGGGGCGGCGCCGGAGGCGCCGCGCGGGGGGCCCCGGCGCCGATCCGAGAAATCCGCGCGGACCTCCGAGTTTTAATGTTTCTGTCACTTTTCGTCCCCCCGAGACGGAGGAGGAGGAGGAGGAGGAGGAGGAGGAGGAGGAGGAGGAGGGGGAGGAGGAGGGGGAGGAGGAGGAGGAGGGAGGAGGAGGAGAGGAGGAGGAGGAGGAGGAGGAGGAGGAGGGGAGGAGGAGGAGGAGGAGGAGGAGGAGAGCGGAGGGGGAGGAGGACGGAGCCCCCACTGCCCTCGCTCCCCAACGGGCCCGCGCTGCAGCCCAGGCGCCCCGCGGGCCCAGAGAGCGGGGCCACCCGCGACGCTCCCAGGAGAGCGGAGGGCACGCCTCCACACGGGGAGCGGCGCTCCCAGGGCCGCGATCACTCGTAGATCGTGTTGGGCCCACGCGGTCGTTCTGCACCTCGTGGGTCTGTGCTTTGTTTCGGTCTTCCGCTGCTGGCAGTGCGGTCGCAGTGTATCCGAGGGTGTCCTGGGCTGGCGTGCTCTGGTCGTGGCTCCTCAGCACGTCGCACTGTTCATGTGCAGATCTTCTGCAGGCTCTCTCCCCCCCGCCGTGAGGTGCCTGGCTAAACGTGGCGGACAGAGCGTGGAGTTCAAAAAAAAATCCGGTTGCCGAGATCCCTCGTAAATAGGCTCCGTGCCCTCGCTCCCAGAGCCGCGATCCCTCGCAAGTTGTACAGCGTCCGCCCCGCGGACAGCGGTCCGTCGTAAATCACATTGCGTCTGCGCTCCCAGGGCCACGACCCATGGTAAATTACGCTGGTCTCGCGCTACCAGCGCAGCGAGCCCGAATCACGTTGGATTCGCGCTTCGACGAGTGCCACGATCCCTTTCTACTTGCACGGGGTTCGTGCTCCCAAAGCAACAGCCCGGCGTGCATTGCATTGCGTCCGCGCTACCAGCGCAGCGATACCTTTGAATTGCGTTGCGTCTGCGCTCCCAGGGCCGCGATCCCTTGTGAATGACGCTGGGGGCTCGCGCTCTCAAGGCCACGGTCCATCGTAAATTACGCTGGATCCGCACACCCAAGGCAGCGTTGCTGCTTTTGCAAATTAAGCAGGATTCGCGCTTCCAGGGCCACGGTCCAACGGAAATTGCGACGGCTTCGCAGGCGTTCCAACTGCGATTATCCTGTGTAAATTGCGCTGGGCTCGCGCTCTCAGGGCCACGATGCTTTGTCAATTACATGGGATTCACACTCCTATGGCCGCGGCTCCTCGTGAATTGCGCCGTGTCTGCGCCCCCCGGGCCTCGACCCCTAGTAGTACATGTCGTTGGGTTCGCAGTCTCACGGCCCAAATCCCGAACTCGCATGGCCCCCTTCGCCAGGGAGCTCTTGGACTCGGGCACCCCTTTGGAAGCAACTCGCAAATTCTTGGCATTGCCCGCCCCCGCCCGATGTGCGCCACAGTGCTGGCAGCAAAAGGCCAGCCCTTGCTGACACACAATCGTGGAATATGTCCAGGGCGGTCGAGGAGGCCTCAGGCGGGGCGGGCGGAGGTAGCACCGCCACGTCGGAGCCGTCAGGCATCGCGACCCTGCCAATCGACGACCGAACGGATGCTTCCCGCCCAATCGCATCGCCAGCACTGAGCTGGCTTCAGAAGAAAAAGCTGTCAGTCGGAGCGCGCTGGTATTCCGACGGCGCGCGCGGTCTGGCCAGCGTGCTGAACATCTTCTCGCAGGTGCGTTTGGTGCGCGCCGCCATGCTGCAAAATCTGCAGCGGACCTCGCCGTTGGATTGTACCCAACAAAGGTCGTGGCCAATGACGCTGGCAGCTTGGACAGAGGTGGGGGGCCGAGTAGGCCGAGGAGGGGCAACATCTGACTCGGCTGCTTTAGCTAATTCGACTCTGGGCGACCGCCCACGAACAATATTTCGGGAAAAGCTTCGCCTCTTCTTGCGCGCATCCGCAAGACCCTCTGAGACGGCAGTGACAGAGGCTCCAGCCTTGGCAAAGTGATCTGCCCACGCATTGCCAAAGACCCACAGAAGCGGCACTCTCGGGTTGAAGGGCACACTTTCGAGCTCGAGGTGCGAGGATTCCCACTCAAAGGACGGCGGGGGCGCCTGCCGTCTTTCGACCAGCGCGAAAAACCTTCTCCAGACGAGGGCATGCTTGGCCGTGCCTCGCGCGAGGCACGGTGCCCAGTCAGTGCCTCTGGCCACCAGCGCGGCCAGATCCGACACTAGGAGCTCTAGGAAGGGGCACAGCTGTCTGGCCCTGAACGCGGCCCAACGCTCAGCATTCCCATCGGTCTGTCGCATGAACCCAGGCAGGCCTCCGAAGACCGCTGCGTGGAGAGGGACCTCTTCCTCCGACAGCCGCGCGGCAGGCCACCCGCACCTTCTAAGGGCTGGGTTATTCGACGTGAGCCCAGAGCCGTCGGTAAAAGCCACCGTTCCCCAGGTCCCCGAGCCCCCCAGGCGACCGCGCGCCAGATCCCCCACGGGTGGCCCGCGCACGCACACAATACATGTGGCTCCAGTTCGAGGCCGCCATGTCTGATACCCCCCCGGGGTGAACTGGACACGCGATGGCCTGTGGTTCCAGCTCCGGGGCCACCATGTTGGATACAGTCGGGGCGCTGAAGAAGGAACCCTTTTTGTTGGGGAGGGACTCGGTGTTCCTTGATTGTTGCAAAGTTTGCCTTGGGTTTTCCTGAGGTTTTCCGTGGGGAATCGAGGTTGAATTTATGTGGAAAAGGAGCCTCGTTCCTTATTTAGGGTTCCTTAGGTCAACGCCTCGACTGTACCTCTCGGGGTGGCCTGGACACACGACAACGCGTGGCCCCACCAAGGGGCAAGATGCAGCCATCCCAAATATACACTCCCTGGGCGGCCTGGGCACATGAACACAGGCGGCTCCAGCTCGGGACCACCCTGTGATATTCCCCACGGGGTTGCCTGTACACGGCAAAGCATGTGCTTTCAGCTCGGGGCCACCGTGTTCGATATCCACGGTGGTGGCCTAGACACGTGAGAACGCGTGGCTCCAGCTCGAGACCACCATGTTCGGTACCCACCTTGGTGGCCTGGCAACGTGAACACACAAGTTCCAGCTCGGGGCCACCATGATCGATACCTCCCTGGGCGACCAGGACACGTGAAAACATATGGCTTCAGCTTGGGACCACCATGTCAGGTACCCCTCGGGGGGAATCAGAATTCCACCCGCCGAAGAAACTGTGTCAAGTTCCCACACAGTTCGTGCCGCGTTATTGGTTTCATTTGGCACTTATGGGTCCTCACGCTAAGGGCACCCAGGCGACCACATGTCAGACCTCCCCCGTGGGTGGCCGGGACAATTAAAAACACATGGTTCCAGTTCGGACCCAGTATTTCAGAACAACCTGTTGTGTGTCCTGGACACATAGAAAAAAAACTTGGTTCCGAGTTCAGGACCACTAGGTTGGGTACCCAATTGGGTAGCCTGGACATGTAAAATCATGGTTTCCAGCTCGGAAACACAATCTTAGATACCCCCTAGGGTTGCCTGGACACGTGAAAGCAAGTCCCTTCTGGGGACAGCCAGGTTAGATACCTCCCTGGGCGATCTGGGCACGTGAAAACAAGCATTTCGCATGAGATATTCTTTGGATTTTGCCCCCCAGGAGAGGAGCCAACTATAAGACAAAGCAAGCGTTTCGCTCGAGACGGTCTTAACGACTTCTGCAAACGAAGCGTTTCGATCGAGGCAGTCGCAACAAACAAGCATGTCAATTTTATCATGTGCCTTATCGGTGATATATAAATATAATGTATAAAAAAACAGCGTTTCTCTCGGGACATGCTAGACCTTGTTACCTATAGCGCATTGAGCCAACGGTCCTCTTCGAACTTGGTACGGGGGACAGGCGTACCTATTGAAAGAGAGCTTTGTGCCTATACCCTTTCCTGAACATATGTCACCTTGTGATTTCTCGCGAATCATGCTGTTAGCCCGCCTCAAGCAAGACCCGTGGTTGAAGCCTCTGAAAAGCACCCTTGGCCGACCCACTTTTCAGGGAAACAACGGCGCCTTGGGCAGTGGCGTCGGGCCGGCGGCATGGGGAGATCTAGGACATACACAACGCAGCGGGAACACACGGAAGACAGGCAGGTGGCCCCATTGGTCGACCCCAGACTTGAGACCGTACCAACACTTACGCCGAGAGCGGGTACCAAATTTTGGACCTTCGAAACAGGAAGCAATGAAGTTCTTCCAAATGGGCTCCGATGCTTTGGCGTGGACACGATGCGGGTCGATGTGGATTCATATGGTGTTCACGTCGACATCGACGCTGTATCGACGACGACGGCGATGCATCGCCGATACGCCGCCGATGTATCGGCGATGCGGCGCGTTCATCCGCCCAAATGTCTTTCGAGCAGGGGGTGGACTACAGTATTGACGTGCCCCAGAATTTGAGCTTCCCCGTCGGATCTGCGAACGCGGGCGCAGAGCGCTCCACGGAGCATTCTCCGTACTTCTCCTAGAGACTCGGCGAACCAATCAATTGCTGGGTAGAAGGAGGAGGAGAAGGAGGAGGAGGAGGAGGAGGAGGAGGAGGGAGAGGGGGAGGCGGAAGAGGCTTACGCCACGTGCCGGTGAGAAGAAGGAGGAGGGTGATGAGGAGGGGGAGGAGGAGGAGGAGGAGGAGGAGGGGGAGGAGGAGGAGGAGGGGAAATCTTCCTCGATCCCATGCTCGAGCCTTCTAAAGAAGCCTCGTAGAGAGAATTCTGCATATTTCTCGTAGAGAGCCGGCGAACCAATCAATTGTGGGGTGGTAGAAGGAGGAGAAGGAGGAGAAGGAGGAGACGTAGGATGAGGAGGAGGAGGAGGAGGAGGAGGAGGAGGAGGAGGAGATATCCTCCTCGATCTCCTTGTCGTGTTCCAAAAGAGGTATCCCGGTCCTCGGACCCCCCGAAGCGCAAGAGGTGGCGAGCGCCTCGGCCGCCGGGGGCCGCTGGGCAGAGCTGCAGGGCCACGTCGACGGCCTCGCGCAGACCGTCCAGGACCGCGGCCAGCTGTGCGGGGGGGGGGGGAGGAGGAGGAGGAGGGAGGAGGAGGAGGAGGAGGAGGAGGAGGAGGAGGAGGGAGGAGGAGGAGGAGGAGGAGGAGGAGGAGGAGGAGGAGGAGGAGGGGGGGTGAGGGGGGAGGGGAGGGGGAGGACAGGGGCAGGAGGAGGAGGAGGAGCAATAACAATAATAACACCAATAATACTAATAATAATAATAATAACAATAACAATAAAAAAACACCAATACTACTAATAACAATAATAACAATAATAATAATAAGAATAATAAAAATAATAATAATCATAATAGTATTAATAATACTAATGATGATAATAATAATAATAATAATATCAATAATATTAATACTAATAATAATGATAATAATAATAATAATATTAATAATAATGGTAATAATAATAATACTAATGATAATAATACTACTAAGCATAAGAATAATAAACATACTAATAAGACGAAACCGAAGAACAAACATAGTATGAATAAGAAGACGAGTACTACTAAGAACAATAAGAAGAGGGAGGAGGAGGAGGAGGAGCAGCCAGGAAACAGGAGCAAGGATCAAGGAGCAAGGAGCAAGGAGGAAGGAGGAAGGAGGAAGGTTGAACGAGGGAGGAGGCAGGAGGCATAAGGAAGGAGGAAGGAGACAGGAGGAAGGTGGAGGAGGCGGAGGCGGAGGCGGAGGCGGAGGCGGAGGCGGAGGCGGAGGCGGAGGAGGAGGATAAGGCGGAGGCGGAGGCGGAGGCGGAGGCGGAGGTGGAGGCGGATGAGGAGGAGGAGGAGGAGGAGGAGGAGGAGGAGGCGGCGGGCGGAGGCGGAGGCGGGAGGCGGAGGCGGGAGAGAGGAGAGGAGTGGAGGAGGGGAGGAGGAGGAGGAGGAGGAGGAGCAGCAGCAGCAGCAGCAGCAGCAGCAGCAGCAGCAGGAGGAGCAAGAGCAGCAGGAGGAGGGAGGAGAGGAGCAGGAGGAGCAGGAGGAGCAGAGGAGGGAGAGCAGGAGGAGCAGGAGGAGCAGGAGGAGCAGGAGGAGGAGGAGGAGGAGGGCGGAGGCGGAGGGGGAGGGGGAGGGGGGACGGGGGACGGGGACGGGGCACGGGGAGGGGGAGGGGGCGGGGGAGGGGGAGGGGGGGGGGGGGGGGGGGGAGGGGGGGGGAGGGGGAGGGGAGGGGGAAGGGGGAGGGGAGGGGGAGGAGGGAGGAGGCAGGAGGAGGAGGAGGAGGAGGAGGGAGGAGGATGGGGAGGAGGAGAGGAGGAGGAGGAGGAGGAGGGAGGAGGAGGAGGAGGAGGAGGAGGAGGAACACGACATAGACACAAACTGTTGGCGCTCCGCACGGATTTCTTGGATCCTCGCTGGAGCCCCCCGCGCTCCGCGCGCCAGGGAACGGGGCCCAGCGCAGATCCAAGAAAGCCGCACGGAGCGCCAACAGTTTATGTTCATGGCGTTTTTTTCTAAACAAGAGACAAGAGAGGCCCCAACCCCACTAGCACGATGAAGACGTTGCCTCACTTAGGTTTTACGTCCTCGCACTAGAAAGATCAGATGTCTGGGCGGATTGGTCTAGGAAGATGGGATCCCTCATGTTTCTGGCACTCCTGACTCTGGTCCCCTCCCAAAGGGTTGGGGTTCCTTCGTTGCTGACCCACCTATGGGGGACAGGCTCATAGCCCTTGGTGGGGGGGGGGAGAGGCGCATCGACCCACGGTCGCCCACTTGTCGCCGAGAGGGGTCCCGACCCGACGGCCCTCCCAGCCCAGCAGCGTGCGGGCTCGCTGTGCTCGCTGTCGGGGGCGCGCATCGCCGATCTGCCGGCGAGGCATCGCCGACTCCGGGTCGAGGTTTCCCTTCCCCCGAGCCGGCCCCCCGCCCCCTCCACGCCCCGGGTAACGAAATCACGACGGGCCTCGTTTCTGGTGTTGCCGGCCTCTGGGGGCCCTCGCCCGGCCCCCAGACCGTCAAGAGCCGGACTGGGGATGCAGCGCTGGTCATCTGGGAGGGGGTCGAGACTTCTGGGGACCCCGTACGGAACGCATCAAGGCATTGGATCAGAGACCCGAATCATCAGGGGTAACGCGGGTGAGGGCGAACTCGGGTTCGTTTTTCGGGAATCCGAACCCGAGTTGCCCCGGGCCCGAGTTACCCCGGATGACCCGGGCGTCCAGAGCCCCAGATCATCAGGGGTAATTCGGGTCAGGGCTAACTCGGGTTCGTTTTGCGGGAATCCAGACCCGAGTTACCCCGGGCCCGAGTTACCCCAGATAACTCGGGCGCCCACTTGGATGTTTGGGACTCCGATGATCCAATGCGGCCCGATCCCACACACGCTTCATCAGGAGGAAAAAAACACACAGACACATTAATCCTCGATTCCCCAGAAAATATGGGAAAATACGGGAAGTGGGGGGGAAGACAGAACCCCCGAAAATATAGGAAAATATGGGGAATATTTTTATGTGTGTGCATTTATGTGTGTGTCCTGGGGCCCCTTCACTTCAGTTCGATCAGATGTTCCTATCAGATGCTGGCGGCGCCGGCGGCAGCGTCAGGCCTCCCATGGAGCGTGTGTGTGTAGACTTTAGGCGATGCTTAAGAAAGCCTAAGTTTTCGTCGGGAGTCTCGATTATTCTTAACTTTTCAGTGTGAGTCCCAAGATTTTGATAGAAGTTCTGGGTTTTATTCAATTTCTGAGACTATGAATTTCTGAACCCATGATTTCTCAAGCATTTCGCAGGGTGTATACGCAGTCGGTGGTAACCTCCGGTGGGCAGCTGTGGGTGCTTCGATGCGTATCGGGCATCCGTGCTGGGCTTCTGGGGGGCCTCGAGGGATTCCCTCGACGACGCGGGGATGTCTGGAGGTTTCTGCGACAGTGGATGGCGAGGGCGAGAACGAGGACAGGGACGAGTCCGAGAAATTCGACAGGGAAGAGCAGTGATAGCGAGCATGATGTGGAGGATGAGGCGGAGACCAGGGGACTGGAGAAGGTGGAGAAGAGGGAACACAAGGAGGAGGGCGACAAGCAAAAGCAGGGGCAAGGATCGAAGAAGAAAAACTGCTTAAACATAAACTTCTGGCGCTCCGCCTGGATTTCTTGGGTCCGCGTTGGGCTCCCCCGGCGACGCCTCCGGCGCCGCCCCTGGCGCGCTCCGCGCGCCATGGAGGGGGGTCCAGCTCAGATCCAACAAATCCGCACGGAACCCAGCAGTTTATGTTTGTGGCGTTTTTGTTTCTTCCTCCTCTAGTGGCGGAGGAGAAGGATATGGACGAGTGCGTTTGCGACTGCGACCGCGATGCAAACGAACACGGCGGCGGCGGCGATGACTACGACGAAGCTGCAGACTAGAATGTCGGCTGCGACGGCGACGCCTCGCGAGCGATCGGGTGGGAGCCCAGGCCGCCAGACCGCCCGCAGGGAGGAGGGCGGGGTGGAGGTGGAGGGAGCAGAGGAAGAGGAGGAGGTGCAGGAGGAGGAGGTGAAGGAGGAGGAGGAGGAGGAGGAGGAGGAGGAGGAGGAGGAGAAGGGAGCAGATGGGGGAGGAGCGAGAGGAGGAGGATCATGCGCGCGGAGAGGAGCGAGGGGGGGGGACGGGAGAAGGAGAGGGCCTTCTTGGAGGGCGGCGGGACTTCTCCGAGGCCCTCGCGCCCCCGGAGCAGTATCTCTCTCTCGTGCCTCCGGGGAAGGCTCGGAGCACCTTCTCGGAAGGCCGGGGGACTTCCGAGCCTTCTGAGAAGGCCTTCTCCGTCTCATTCTCCCCCCCCCCGCTCGCCGCCGACCCTGCGCAAACCTCCGAGAGCGACCGCGCCTGCCGTGGGCGATGGTCTCGGAGCGGTGCTGGCGCCCGGACTCGCCCGAGCCCTTTCGCTACGGCCCCCGCGCCAGCGCCATTCGGTGATGGGTCGATGTTCCACCACCGCTGCCATAGTCAGGAGGGGGAAAAACAGGCACAATTAGTCGTCGATCCCCAGGATAACATTGGAACATGTGGGAAGTGGGGGGGGAGACAAAAACCCAGAAAACACGGACAACTATGGGGACTCCTGTCATTTGTGTGTGTATTGACTTGTGTGCCCCAAGGCCCCTTCACATAGGTACGAGAGGGAGGAGGGGAAGGAGGAGGAGGAGGAGGAGGAGCCAACGGTTGGCGCGCGACCCTGCTCGCCCCGCCGCCCCTGCGGGCACGCGGCGCGGTGAGGATGTTGCCACGAAGCCCCGACTGGCCGAGGCCACAGAAGGTACCGCCGTGAGCCTGCGGAGTCCTCCTGCCCTCCGGCCCTTGTGCGTGAGGTCTGGGTCGCGAGGAGAGAGGGGGGAGGGAAAGGAGGACAGGAGAGGGGGGAGAAGGGAGGAAGGGGATGGTGAAGGGGAGACAGGGGAGGAGTAGGAAAGGGATTGGGAGGAGAAGGGAAGGGTGGAGAAGGAGGAGCAGAAACAGTCATCAATGATGTTGCAATGAGCCCCAAGTTCCCCCATCATAGCCCCCCACGAGGGTTCATGTTCACTGAGAGAAGCCCCCGTTGTAGAACAACCGCTTGAAATTTTAGAACTGAGCCAGACTGCCGTTCTTGGGACTTCAACGCCGACAATCACCATCACTGTCGCGTATTGACGATCATGACTCGCCGAAACACCATTTCTGGGACTCCAGCACGGCGAATCAACGTCAATAGTTGCACCTAAACGCTCTGGCATCGTGCCAAACTATTTTTTGGGGGTCCAGCTTGAGCATCCTTGAAATTGTGGTAAGCTCTAATAACGGATGTGCGCGGCGTTAAGGCAGGAGCCACATGCTGAAACAGAACCGCTCTTCATGAGCGAAATTGATGTAAGTTCCAGGGACGAATGCGTGCGGCGCTAATATGAGAGCCACAGCTTGAAAGCCACCCGCCCTCCATCCGTGACGTTATTGTATTCGGAACGAGTGTGCGCGGCACGAAGGCGAGAGCCACATTCTGAACGCAGCCCGCCCTCCATCTGTGAAATGTTGCAAAGTGTAACAGGATCAGAAATGGTGAGGAAGTCTCAGGTCTTGGACCATCTTGGGCGGACTTGGAGGCCATCTGGGAGGCGTCTTGGAGGTCATCCTGAGCCATCTTGGCCGTCTTGGAACCATCTTGGGTCATCTTGGGGCGAAACAGGCATTGACTGATGCAGTTTCCGGGTGGCCGGCGGGGCGTGCCAGAGCCTCAGGGGGAGTTCTTTTGGAAAAAGAGCCAAAACCAAAACCGAAAGGATCCAGCACGCCAGGCACCCCTGCGATGAATCGACAGGGGGCGGCGGATCCAGCTGCCTACGGCAAGTCCCGCCACCGTTCTTGGGATGAATGTTATAAGCCTAGTGGATGTTCGTTGGAATCTCGTGGGAGGCCTCTCGGGCACCTGGAGACAGTTTTGAGACCTCTTGGGAACCGTGTTGGAGCCTCTCGTGGGCCTCTTGGGGGCCTCTTGGGATTACTTGGAGGCCTCTTGGGTGCCTCTTGAGGCCTCTGGGGCGCCTCTCGTGGGGCCTTCTGGGGGTCCCTTTGACCGAAGGCTCGGATTCTCAGTTCGCGTTCTCTCTCTTGTGCTTTTGTTGGGGGGCCGTCTTGGGGCCTTGGGCCGTCAGGGGCGCCTCTTGGGTCGTCTTGGGGCGCTCTTAGGCCGTCTTTGAACCCTCATGGATGCTTCTTGGGCCGTTTTGGGGTGGTCTTGGGGGCCTCTTGGGCCGTCTTGGAGCGTCGGAAAGCCGAACATGCGAGAACGCCCAAATCCTGATGTTTGCCTTTGGGGACCCTCTTGGGAGACCTCTTGGAGACCTCTAGGGGCACCTTGCAAGCCTTTTGCGCCATTTTGAGGCCATCTTTGGCGTTTTCGAGCGATCGTTTGGCGACTCGGGGCCCTCTTGCACTGTTCTGGGGGCCTCCTGGGTCGTCATGGAAGCCTTGGAGAGCCCAAGGGAGGTGCCATGGCCACCAAGGGCCGCCCCAACATGGCCGGTGCACGCGACGAGGTGCGGCCCAGAGGGAGGGCGGCTTTTCATCAAAAGATTACAAAACCCTGCCAGACAGCACTTGGCACTCTAGCACGCCACAACGTGCCAGGAGGCACGGTGGCGGATTTATATGGAAAGGAATGGAGGAGGAGGAAGAGGAGGAGGAGGAGGAAGAGAAGGAGGAGGAGGAGGGGGAGATGGAGGAGGAGGAGGAGGAGAGGAAGAAGAAGGGGGCAGGAGGAGGGAGGGGGGGGGGGAGGAGGAGGGAGGAGGGGGGAGGGAGGGCGGAATTTAGCAGGAGGAGGGGGAAGAGGAACCCCAGGCAAGGGGGAGGGAGGGAGCGGAGGTCGAGGCGGAGGCCCCCCCTCCCCTCCAGCGCCGAGGACCTGCTGCGGCAGGGCCCCTCGCCGGTGCCGGCAGGCCCTCGCCGTGCCGGGCGCGCTTCGGGGGCATCGATGGGGGGTGGACAGGCACATCAAGCAGGGGGTGGCCTCTTCTTCTTCCTCCTCCTCCTCCTCCTCCTCCTCCTCCCATGCTCCTCTTCTTCCGCCTCTTTCTCCTCCCTCCATCCTCATCCCCCCTCCTCCTCCCCCCCCCAGCGATGGGGGCATCGATGGGGGGGGGACGGGCACATCAGTCGGGTATGGCCAGGACCCCAGGTAAGGGGCCCGGTTAGTGGTAGGGCCCTGGAGCCCTTGAATTGGCCAGAATCACGAAACCAGGTTTGCCGCAGATGGTGTTTTATCGGGTGACGGCAGTTCTGGTTAGTGGAAGTGGGGCGGGGGGGCGTCCCCCAGTACAGATCATTAAACCAGGTCCCACTAAACCCGGTTCTGCCAACGCCGGAATCAAGCAGTGGCGAAGCGTCCCGGCTCGCTTCTAGCCCTGCCAAACAATGCTTCAAGAACCTATTGTGGTCTGCACGAGATGTTCTTGGAACAGTTCTGGCTGGGACTGTCTTGTTTTAACACGTCGGGTGAATGTTCTGAGAACATTGCTTTTGTTCTTAGAGCATTTTTGGGTTCTAGGAACATTTCGTGGTAGGCTTATGGGAATGCCGGGACGGTCGGCCCCTGCTCAAGCATGTGGGGTTCTTGAGGTTCGAAGTTTTAGGCTCTCGAGGTTCGAAGGTCCAGGTTTTCGAGGGTTTTCGTCGGTGCTCGGCGTCTTTCAAGCCTCGGGGCGCTTTCCAGCAGCTGCGCCTCGTCGAAGGCGTCCCGGGGCTGCCTGAAGCGTCCCGAACGGCCGGCTGAGAGTCGAGTCGTGGCCCGAAAACCATTTGGGGATGGCCTCAGGGGGGGATGCATCGACCCCAATCGCCCATTGATCGCCGATAGGGGCCCGATGGCCCCAACCTACGCAGGGAGGTGTGGGTTCACTATCGGGGGCCTATCACCGATCTATCGGCGATGTATCGCCGATTCCAGGTCGGTGAATCACCCGCTATTCCAGTCCCCCCCTACCGTTGCCCCTCAGCGGTGCGGCCGTCCTGTTATGCCTGCGTGTGGCGACTATCCACACCCAGTTGCGAGTAGTGGCGAAGCGTTCTGGCTTTCATTTAGGCCCACCAAACAAGTTCTAAGAAGCGTTGTGGTCTGCACGAGATGTTCTCAGGCCATGTCTGGCTGGGACGGCCCTGTTTTCACACATTGGGCTTATGTTCTAAGAGCCGTTTTCTGTTCTCAGAGCACTGTTGGGTTCTAGTAGCAGTTCGTGGTAGGCTTATCGGGTTGCCAGGACGCTCGGTCCCTGCTCAAGAGTTGCCACCACACCCCCACGGTTGCAGAGAAGAGTGAGGGGCTGTGGGTCATTTTGGGCGTCTTGGGGTAATATTTGGGCGTCTCGGGGCCCTCTTGGATCATCTCGGGTGTCTCTTGAGGCTATGTTGGCCCGTCTTGGGGCCTTCCTGGCGGGGAGATGCGGAAGCGCCCGACAAGCGGCGGCAAGCCCCAGGAGATTTGACAAGTTGGGCTCCGGGCCCTTCAAATATTCCTCAGGAGTGAGAATTGAGGCTTAGAGGATTAGGCAAAGGACTTGATCGGACGGGGCTACGATAAAAATAAGTTTGCTCCAGGGCGTGAACGCTCTGAGAAGGCCATGGCGCCCAAGTCATCCTCCAGAGCCGCCGGATCTCAGAGGTTCTCGATGCATTTCACCAAAGTCTAGACATTTTTTCGCATTGCACAGCGGGCCCGCCGCAGTCGTCGAATCTTTCTCGTTACATCAACGAGGGTGGGTCGCGTGTGTGTGGCGGGTGGATGGCGGGGTAGGTCGCGGCTGGGTCGTGGGGTGGATCGCGGCTGGGTCGCGGGTAGGTCGCTAGAGGGTCGCAAGGTGGGTCGCGGGTAGGTCGCTGGAGGGTCGCGAGGTGGGTCGCGGCTGGGTCGCGCGCAGGACGACGGCAAGGCATCAAGGCGATTCGCCGCGGAACCCCACTTGAGTCACACACTCGGGGGGATTGTAGATTGTTCGTTCCCACCCCACTCTGAATCAGTACTTGTGTGTATTATATATAAACTGGTGTGTGTCGATATACGGTTGATAGCTGTATGAGAACAACTTACGATAATACCTTGCAGAGTTAGTGTAATGTGCCGTTCGCGATGTTTCTAGCCGTGCTGTGTGGGACATCCCCATCCTTCTGAAAGCCGGGCGCGCTCCTCGTGCAGGTCGCGACGACAGAGTCTAAAAGCGTATGCGGCCGCCAGCTTGAATGCAGAGCATAAAGAAAAACAGTTGGAACGAATGATTCCGCACATAAGGATCAGTGCCCCATTCCTTGTTCAAAGTGCTCCTGCAACGAAATTCCGCATGCCGTCCTACAGCTTCCAAAAGCAGCAGTGAGTCGACCAGTTGGCACATAATTGCTAGACTCGCGTTTGATCGTTTCTTCCAGTTTACTAATGCAACCTTGCACTTATCATGTGTTGCCTTTATGCCACAGGGTTGCCTTCAAATTATAGACGCTTCGCGAATCCCCACCAGCCCTGTCTTCGCAGGTGGCATCGCCTGCCCTTGCTTGCCCGGCGTCCGACTTGATTCGTCCGCCTGCGTACCCAAAAAGAAACCTCATCAGCCCCTTCAGAAACGATGATCAGGCGAGTTGCCCTGATCAGGCACGCGGGGGGGCACACAATGGAATTGAGGCTGGGAGTGGCTGTCGTATCCCAGGAGGGGGATGATACGAGGAACTGGAGGGAGAGGAGGAGGGGAGGAGGGAGAAGGGAGGAGGGAGGAGGCGGAGGATTAGGCGGATGAGGAAGCACTGAATGAGGAAGAGGACGAATAGGAGTCTTTTAAGATGTGTCTCTAGAGCTTCTTGTGGCATCTTTGGGGCCTTTTGGCGGCCCTGGTGGCCTGTTGAATCGTCTTGGGTGCCTTTGGGGGTCCTCTTGGGGCCTCTTTGGATTCTTGGGTGCATCTTGGGGGCATCGTGGGGGCATCTTGGGGCCTCGTGGAAGCCGCTTGGGGTTCTGTTGGGGCACTATTGTTGACCAAAACACAATTGGGCTACGACACTCTTACGGCACACTAATCAGAAAACTTACCGAAAGAATGGCTAACCACAAAGCAGTCCTTTGAAAGCAAGTATGATCCGGCCATCACGAACATACCACACATGCAAAAGATACCTAGCGCAGGCGGCCCCCGTACACACCGAAGGTGCCACCGATCGTTGACGCAGTCAAGATTGCGCGAGAATTTGTTTGCACCAGGTAGATATAAATTTGTAGATCGAAAACCAACCAGCACCCTTGCAGTAAACAGTGCTGGCTACGACCTTGACGATCCTACTATACGTCGAGAAGCCAATGGGTCAACCCGCCGACCACCGTCGAGCGGACTGGGTGTTCCAGCATGTGCCGACACTGCACAAGTAAGCTCACCACGGCACGACCGCAATCCACGATAATGTCGGTGTAATGCCAAGGAACCCAGCTATTGGGAATGTCCAGGCTGCAAATTGGGTTATGCTAAAGACAAGCGGGTCCATTTGCGAGCATCAGGCAAATGTAGATTTGCCAAACCCTGGCGACTGCCAAGTAATTCTGGACAAGCCCCGCCGGCTGCACCAGCACAGGCGGATGGTGCGCTAGCATCAGCGGCCGCTGCGCCAGCAGCGGCACAAGCATCAGTAAACGAATTGTTCGACGAAGCACCAACACCTGCAGAAATGTCACCTGCACGACAGAGGCCGTATGGCTATGCGCGGCAACGCGCCTCTCTACCTACACTCAGGAACCCTGGAGACCCAACCGTGGGTGCCAGCAGCTACGATATGACACGAACGGCACGCGGCTCTGACGTGTTTGCAGCTTTGGCGCTAGCAGCTCTTCCGGACCACCGCGCGTCGTAGGATTGCGTTGGCGTGATGTGGGTGATGCAGAAACGCCTCTTTCTCCGCCTCAGGCCGAATCACGGCCACGTGCCAGACCACCTGATTGGACTAGGTTTGACACCCAGATAAGTTTTCAAAATTTGCGCAGTGTCAATCTGACCATAGTAGTGAAAGAACTGCGCAAACTCCACCTACGGTGGCATCGCGCCTCCGAACCAATGATGCGCACAATCTTCTCGAGAACAGAGCTCGATGTTGTACGGCTGATCGTGGTAGAATGCGTAGTTGGATCATGCCGTGAGCGCAGAGCCTGGGAGGGACCAGGAAACGCAGTCATGCCATCAGCTAGGCAAATTCGATGAGGAAGCCGAATGCCATGCGATGTTCTGTAGACAAGACATCGTTTTTTTATAGCATCGCCGAATGCAGTCGTTGGGGCGCTGGCCAACATAGCTGCGGTGCACTCCTGATGGAGAGGGCGCATTTCACAACGACACCGCCGAGGCTAGATTCAAAACCGAAGGTGCGGGACTCCACGCGGGCCCAAGGCCAGCAGGCCACCGCCACGGAAGTATGCAACGGTATCTCCCGACTTACCTTACTTTTTTGTTCGGCGGCCCGCAAGGAAAAGTCCAGAGGGCGTGTCAGAAGGCAATGGGGCGCAAAGCCAGATAATTAGTGAAGGCCAGGCCACGATGGGAGGGAGCCGCCAAGAGGGCGCCAACCCACACACGTGCCCGACTTACCTTACACGCCATGAGAAAATCATTCAAACTTCACAACCCCCCATTCGTGATCCCACCTCTGCTGCGCGAAGGTCTTTTTGCCTGTAGTGTGTTCGCGTTTGGCAGCGGCGTGCCGCCAAAGCAGGCACTGCATGGCCAACGACCGGCTTGCCTCCTCGACCTCCCAGCGCTAAGCAACGAGCAAGGGGCGGAAACGCCCGACCACAACCCTGGAGCGAGGAATCAGGGAGGGAGGCCAGCATGGAGACTATTGTCACCACCCACCAAACCACCCCAACCCAACCCGAAGGCTCAAATTTACCGTCGATTTCCAGTGGGGGGTGGGTCGGGGAACAGCGAAAAAACACGCGTGGAACCCTTACCCCCCCCCAACCCGAAATTCGGGTCTTCGGGTTGGGTTGGGGTGGTCTGGTAGGTAGTCATATTGCACAAGCGAACCGAGCCTTGCGCAACGACTAGCCTGGCGAAGGACCCAACCATATGCAGTTGTGAGCACCGTCGTTGTTTGCACCGCATTCGAAGGAGCTCACGAAAAAGGGCAAGGAAACGTGTGAGGGGTGTGCCAAAATTTGCCCAGTGGGCGCATGCGAAAGCAGCCGCTGGGGCCGTCGATGGAATTCCATATGGGACCACGCAGCGCGTGAGAGGTGTGCCGACGTAGGTGCGGTGGCCGCCTGCGAACGCACCCATTGGGGCCATCGGTGGAGCTTCCTTTTCGGCCACGAAGCGTGGGAGGGGTGTGCCGACACGGGTGCGGTGGGCGTAGGCGAACGCAGCCGCTGGCGTCTTGGTCCGTAGAGTGGGGGGCCATGCCAAGAAACACCCTGCTTGCCTCCAGGGTGCCCTGGGTTTTTCGGGTTTCAGTGGTTTTGCTGTGGAAAGCGCGACGTTCCCACACCAAAAGTCAGTGGACGTCCTGGGGTCTCAGGGTTGGGTTTCTTGTGGACTGGCCTCCACTGTAGAGCCGTCGACCCTTTCGCCCCCCCCAGACCCTCATGGGAATCCCAGAGGCTCCCCCAAAAGCTGCATAAGGGTCCCCGAGCGGAGTCAAGACCAAGTCATCCCAGAGCCCTCTTGCGCGAGTTGGCTTCAACTCACCTCGGGGCCCTCTTAGGGGCTCCAGAGACAAGGCCCCGAGAGGAGTCAAGGCGATGTGAATGCGAGGGCTTACTCGCGTGTCATGGCTGCGACTCCTCTCCGAGCCTCTTTGGGACAGGTTTGGCACTTCTCGGGTCCTCCCTCGCCCGCCCCAGCATGCCCCCGCGGGACCTCGATCGGTTCCCGAGACGGCCCCACGAGGGCCCCGAGGGGAGTCCGCTCGACGCCACCCGAGAACTCCATTGCGCGATCGCCGTGGTTGTGGCCTTTCTCGTCGGCTTCGTCTCAGTCGTCCATGCGCCCTCGGCCCGTGGACCTCGCGCCGCTGTGGGCTCGAGTCTCGAGCTGGGCCGTCGCAGATGCTTCGGCTCTCGGAGCGGCCGCGTGCGCAGGCGGCACCGCTGCAGCGACGCAACGCGAGCGTCTCGTGTGAGCCTCCCCGGGGGCTCCGAGAGTTCGGGATGACAAGTATTTAGGGGAACAACAAGTGACATAAGCATAAAAACTCGGAGGTCCGCGCGGACTTCTCGGATCGGCGCTGGACCCCCCTTCCTGTCGCGCGGAGCGCGCCAGGGGCGGCGCCGGAGGCGCCGCCGGGGGGGCCCAGCGTGGATCCGAGAAGTCCGCGCGGAGCGTCGAATTTTTATGTTTATGCCACTTTTTGTTCCCCTATTCAAAGCAGCATCGGCGCTGGTATTCCCATGGGCGCAGACCCGCCTCGCTTGGCATCATCCCGGTTCGCTCTACTCGATTTGGCCGAGTCAACCGAGGTTTGGGTTCAATCTGGCCTCATCTCGCTAAATGGTCCTCTCTTCGGGCTCGATTGTCCGCACTCGTTCGCACGAAGGATTCCCATCAGTTACCAGTTGTCTCCCATTAGCCCGGCGCCTCCAGAGCTCCGGCGAAGGAATTGTGTTGGGGTGAACGATCCGAAAGGCCCCTTGTTCTTCAAAAGGCTTTCAGATAGGTCCTCGAGTCCAAGATGCCCAAGGATAGTCTAGAAAGGGATGGTGAGAAGGAGGCATAACAACACAAATTGCAGGTGGATGCGGTGACACACGGGAAATGCAAATATGATAGCACAAGTTCAGGCAGCCATATATTTAAGTCGGGCATGCCCCTCTGCAGGAGGAATATTCAAGAGTAGTCAGGGCGATGCTTTGTGCTCTTTGGGCTATTTTTGCATAGTTGTGACAATTTTGTATTCCTCCAACATCCGCCTGTAGGGGAGGACGTGCCTCAGGAGGAGAGAAACACACAGACACAATTCATCCTCGATTCCCCAGAACATGTGGGAACATATAGGAAGTGCGGGGGAAGACAAGGACCGAGAAAATATTACAACATATGGGAAATCCTTTGTGTCTATGTATTTGTGTGTCCCAGGGCCACTTCAATGCCCGACCTAAAGCCATATGTAAGCAGCATGGCATTCCGCAGCATGGATCACGGATGCGTGGCCCCCGCTCGAGCCAAGCGCCGGACGGGAGGTTTCCGGGAATCAGAAGTAAGTCGGGAATGTCCCTCTACAGGAGGGACATTCGAAAATGGTAAAACATAGTTTGGGGAGGATTATCTGACTACGTTATACTGTTTTTGAACCTTGTTTTAATGTTTGGATTTGCTTCCAACCTCCGCCTGCATGAGGACATACCCGACCTAAAACTAGAACTTGAGCCGCGCGCGGCGCTCGCGCGAGGGTTGTGGTGCCACATCGTTGGCGCTCTCCCCAGCCAACACCCATAGGATTGTGGAGGACGATCAATGGAGTGGAAGCATGTTGCCAAATAATTTCAAGATGTCTAATACATGTGTCACAACTGTTTCAAATCTGTAAAAAACAAGTTTGAAACATGTTTACAACATGTTTTACACATTTTAAAGACATCTTTAATTCGATGGCAGGACTGTTAGGGTGTCCATTGTCGTGGCATTCACAACCATAGGAGGCCAGCCGTTATTTGTACCTAGCAGTGGCAAAGGGTTGTTTGAGCGCGCGCGGAGCCCGCGCGAGGGTTGTGGTTCCACTTCGTTGGCGCTCTTCCCTGCCAAGACCCATAGGGGGGCAGGTGCTACGATCTAGCAGTGGCAGGGGGTTACTCATGGGGCACAGGATCTTTGGAGGCAGCCAACTAGGGCGTTCCCAGGAAATGTTCCGTATTCGAGAATCGGCATTGTGGCTCAACGCGAGTTTGCTCGAGCTTCTTCAGGGTGCCGTATTCAGACGGTAGTCGGCACCGCCGTGGCTCATGTACGGGCACAATGGTGCAGCGCGGTTCGCAGGAGATTGCGGTGGGCGTTGTGTGAAGCTGTATGCGCAAAGCGTAGTGAGATTCCCCCACATGTTCTGCTGCATGATCGGCGTCCTCATGCTTGTCTTGTCCGTCGTGTCCATTGCTACAGGTGCGATGGACATTGTCGATGAGAAGGAGGTTTGGCTCGTCCCCACCTCCGACAGCACCCTTACCTACAAGGCCTGGACGCACGCAAAGTGGCAGGCGCTCGGCGAGCCGGTGGGCTTCAAGTGGCACGGCACGTCCGTGGGCAGACGGCTGGAGAACGCCACCCCTGACGGCCCGCCTGCCGACAAGCAGGACGGAGGTCTGGTGCAGTACAAGTGGGACGGCGAGTGGTGGACGCTCGCATTCATATACAAGAGCGACAAGGGAGGATCCGACAACGTGTTCACGCCCGCGCGGCTGCAGGAGATGTGCCGCCTCGAGGCCCTGGTGCTTGAGCAGCCCCTCACCTGGGCCGTGAGCGACTCGGCACCGCGCCTCTTCTACCAGGACGCGGCCGAGTACGCGAGCTGCCCCGAGCTGAACCAGAGCGTGGTCAGCGCAAAGCTGGAGGCGATGTACTTGGACGTGGCTGCGAATGGAGCGGCCTCACAGTACGCCAGATTCGTCCATCCGTCTTTTGCCAGCACCGGCACGAGCGCATACAGTCGCACTGCGATGGAGGTCATAGGTCCCAAAGGCAAGGACGTTGACGACCACAAGAGGCAGATCACCGATGACGTCATCCTGAAGGATCTCGGTCTGTCGTACGGCTTCCTCCGCTCGGCGCTACAGGTTGAGGAGGACCGATTCAACAGGCTTGCGCTCTTCCGCCGACCCCAAGAAAGGGAGATGCGCGGCTCCGACTTCGTATGCGGTGTTTGCCGCTCCTCGTCGTGTTGCCTGTGTGCAGGTTCTGTTGGTTCGTCCTCGTCCTCCTCCTTCGCGTCTGTTGCGGGGCTTCTGGGGGTCTATTTGAGGCTTAACAAGGCGGCCTCTGGGAGCCTTCAAGGCTCCTGATCTTTCTGTTGAGGCCCTCTCAAACGGGAGAGAGTCTGGTTTTGGATGATAAATGCAGTTCGCTTTGTTATGAACATGTTGTACGTTTAGCCGTGCGGTCGGGCCAATTCGCGTTTTCGGTCGCCCCGATCGCTCACCGCTGGTGCAGCTCTTCTGCCTCGCCGCCGACGAACAAAAAGTTTGGCCGTGCGGCGGTGATGGCTGCCATCGAGCAGACCTTCCTTTGTTTGACAGATTCTACGTCTCCTCGTGTCGGTATCGTTTCACCCATCCCCAGTCCCAGCCCCATCCCCTTCGAGACCCCCACCAAATCACCGCCCCAGTTGGGGATGCACCCCTCCAGACCAGAAGGGAACGACCTGTATCCCCCTCTAGGGGGGCTGAATCGGCCAGTGGGGCCCAGGCCACGCCGCCGGGGATGGAGATCGGTTCAACGATGCTCATCGGAGGCACGGCGGGAGGAGGCACCGCAGGCTCCCGAACGGGGCGGCGGCTCGTGAGAGGGCCCCGGGGAGGAGGGGTCCACCGGGAGGTCTATACATCTTTTCGGGGGCGGCAGCGAGGGGGGGTGATGACCAGAGGGGTGGATATCATTGCGGGGGCCATGGCATCTCCCCAGATTTCATGGCGCCTCTTCTTGTTTCAATACGTTCCCTGCCCCCCCCCCTTCGGCCGCGCACATGCCTCGAGCCATGATTTGGAGGGCGCCTCGCTGGATGGCCCCAAGGAGGGGTGGGTGGGAACCACCCCCCCCCTCTTGCCCCGATCCGTCGTCGGGGACCCCCCCCCTTCCCCCCCTTTCCCGGCACGTCGTCGGGGACCCCCCCCCCCCTACCCACTTTTCCCGGTCCGTCGTCGGGGACCCTCCCCCTCTTCCCCCCTTTCGCCACGGCGCCCCCTGGCTCGGGAACCCGACCCCTACCACCCCTAGCACTACCACCCCGACCACCCGCAACCCGAACCCCAAACCCTAACCCTAGGCCCAAACAGTATTCAATACTCACTATTCATTACTCACTACCACTACTCGCTACTTTCTACTCACTTCTCATTACCATGATGGCCCCGGTTCGGTTCGGTTCGGTCCGGTTCGGCGCGCCTTCGTGTCGTTGCGGCCGGTCCGGTTCAGATCGCCGTCCGGTTCGGTCCATCCGGTCCGGTTCGAGTATATTGGCCGGTCCAGTTCGGCCGGTCCGGTTCGGTCGCTCGGTTCGGCCGGTTCGGTCCGGTTCGGCCGGTTCGGTTCGGCCGAGGGTTTCCGGTTCGGCCGGTTCCAAGACACACCCGAATTTTTGGACATGAGGCGACGACGACGACGACGACGACGTCGACGTCGACGTCGACGACGATGTGCAGAGTGGGGAGCGGGAGCGGCAGAGTGTGAGAGAGGGAGGAGACAGGGAGGAGAGAGGAAGGAGGGACGAAGGGGGGAGGAGGGACGACGGAGGAGGGCCGACGGAGGGAGGGACGAGGGAGGGAGAGGGCAGCAGGAACGGAGGAAGCGGCAGAGGGAGGGACGAGGGAGCGGGAGCGGCCCTCCGATCCACAGCGTCCTGAGGGGGGGTCAGGTCCCCCGTCGTCCTAAGAGGGGGGGTTCAGGTCCCGTCCTGAGGGGGGTCAGGTCAGGGGGGGGGTCAGGTCCCGAGGGGGGGGGTCAGGTTCCGAGTCAGGAGGGGGGGGTCAGGTCCCAGGTCCCGAGGGGGGGGTCAGGTCCCGAGGGGGGGGGTCAGGTCCCCCGAGGGGGGGGTCAGGTCCCGAGGGGGGGTCAGGTCCCGAGGGGGGGTCAGGTCCTGAGGGGGGGTCAGAGGGGGGGGGTCAGGTCCCGAGGGGGGGTTCCCGGGGGGGGGTCAGGTCCCGAGGGGGGGGTCAGGTCAGGGGAGGGGGGGGTCAGGTCCCGAGGGGGGGGGTCAGGTCCCAGAGGGGGGGGGGTCCCGAGGGGGGGTCAGGTCCCGAGGGGGGGTCAGGTCCCGAGGGGGGGGGTCAGGTCCCGAGGGGGGGGTCAGGTCCCGAGGGGGGGGTCAGGTCCTGCGGCCCGCGCCGCCGTACGTCCTGAGGGGGGGTCAGGTCCCGAGGGGGGGGTCAGGTCCCGAGGGGGGGGGTCAGGTCCCGAGGGGGGGGGGGGGTCCGGTCCCGAGGGGGGGGGGATCAGGTCCCGAGGGGGGGTGTCAGGTCCCGAGGGGGGGGACAGGTTCCGAGGGGGGGTCCCGAGGGGGGGGGTCAGGTCCCGAGGGGGGGTCAGGTCCCGAGGGGGGGGTCAGGTCCTGAGAGGGGGTCAGGTCCCCCCCCCGACCCCGCCGCGTCCTGAGGGGGGGTCAGGTCCCCTCCGGTCCCCGCCGTCCTGAAGGGGGGTCAGGTCCCCCCGCCCCTCCAGCCCCGCCCCGAGGGGGGGTCCGGTTCGGCCGGTTCGGTTCGTCGGGCCGGTTCGGTCCGGCCGGTTCGGGTCAGAGGTTGGCGCGGTCCGGTTCGGCCGGTTCGGGTCGAGGACCGGTCCGGTTCGGCCGGTTCGGTTCGGGGGCCGGTTCTTGGTTCTCGGTTCGGTTCGCGGCCATCATGCATTACTCACTGCTCACTACTCACGACTCACTACCCACTACCCCATGCTCACTACTGACTACTCAGTATTCCCAACTCACGACTCAATACTCAATACTCACGACTTACCAAGCACTACTCACTACCCGCTACTCACTACTCTTTATTGATCACAACTCACTACCCACTAACCACTATCCATTCCTTACTACTGAGTACGCACAATGCACTACTCACTACTTACTGCCCACAACTCACTACTCACTATACGCTGTTGCCTACCCCCTACTCCTTGAACAATATTCACTGCTCAGTATTCATTACTCGCCACTCCCTACGCGCTATTCGCTACCCGATTCACACAATATTCATTACCCACCACGCACTACTCACTATCCAATACTCAGTACTCCCTACTCTATAGTCACTAGCCGCACGTCATGATTCATTGCTCACGACTCACTACTCCCTGCTCGCTGCCCCCCACGCGCTACCCACTATTCACTACCCACTTCTCACTTCTCACTACTCACTAATCACCACTCACGATTCACAACTCGCTACTCCCTGCTCGCTTCTTACTGCTTCCTATTCACCATTCACTACTGACTACTCCCTCCTCACTACTCACTACTCACAATGCCCTATTCGCTTTTCGCTATTCACCACTCGCTACTCCTTATTCGCTACTCACTACCCACTCCCCACTGACCACTACTCACCACTCAGTACTCACTAGCCCCTATACGCTCCTCACCACCTACTCACTACTCACTACTGACCACTCCCTCCTCAGTACCCACTACTCGCAATGCCCCACTCGCTATTCACTATTTACAAATTGTGACTCCCCACTCGCTATTCACTATTCACTACCCACTACTCCCTTCTCACTACTCACTTTTCACTGCGCACGACTCCCTACTCCCTAGTCAGTACTCAGTACTCGGTACTATCTACTCACTGCTCACTAGTCTCGACTCACGATTCACCACTCACGATCCCGAGGCCAGACCCCCCCCCTACGAGAGAGGCCCCCGCCCTGGCCCCCTGTTCGGCGCCAAGGGGGGGAGGGGAGGGGGTCGAACCCCCACCCCCATCTCCAGCGCCAAAGGGGGGAGGGGGGGGGGGTCGGACCCCTCCCCCTTCAGGGGGAGGGGTTCGGACCCCCCCTTGTAAGGGGGGAAGGGGGAGGGGCCGGTCGAACATCTCACCCCCCCTTTGAAGGGGTGGAGGGGGGAGGGGTTTTGCAGGCCTCCCCCCCGTTTTCAATTACAGGGTTATCCACTGGCGCCTCTTTCCATGATTTGCACCCCCCCTTGTTGGACGCCCCCCTCTTGGACGCTCCCGAATCTCCGTTGCCTCCTCCATCTGCGTCAAGATCGTACAGGTTATGTGGGTGCAGGGTTCTCTCTCTCCTTCGCCCATGTGCAGAAGAGCCAGGGCCCCAGGAGCACAGCCTTGATGTAGCTGTCGTTTCGAGCTTCCTCGGGAGCTGGAGGTTTCCAGCGTGGTTCCCTGAGGTGTCTGCGAGTTCCGTCCAAGTTCTAGCGTGTTTCTCCACGCATCGAGCTGCGAAGACGTACCTTCGCTCGCGTTGTACATCCGCACCCACGTGCTGATGTGAGTTCTAGGTGTTGCCAGCTTTTTGGTGGTAAGATCCCCGCCGGCCCCCGCAATGCCATTCCAATGCTGTCGTGCTCGTCCGTTGGAACTGCACCAAATGATCTTTAATGTTGCGTCGCCAGGCGTCCCCGCAGAGGTTAAAGTCCGCGACAGTTGCGCTGCGTTTCGGAATGCATTCGGCATGTTTTTCCAGTGTTCGGCGCTGGCAAGAACGCGCGCCATCGCCATTCTCACGACCTCCGTTTCCTATGCGGTTGCGACGACGCAGGCGCCTTTTTATGGTTCGCTCGTGAACAAAGGTGTGCAAGAGTTTTTGCTGATGCCTCGGTGGTTTCTTGGGCCGTCCTGGGGCATTGTAGCGGCGTCGCTGGGCCCTCTTCGGAGCCTCTTGGGCCGACCTGGGCCATCGTGTTGGGCCGCTTGGGCCGTTCTGGACATCTGGAAGCCCAGAAAGGCGAGAGCACGAAAATTAGCAAACATTGCAGGCAACATGCAGTTGTCGTTGCCTCTCGCAGTCCTGTTGGGGGTCCTATTTTAGATTCTTTGGGGTCTCTCCCAGGACGTCTTGGGTCCTCTTGGAGCTATCTTGGGTGCCGGCGTGTTGGAGCCACTCTTGAGCCGTGGTCGATTGGCATTTGAGGCATCCTGGCGGCCACAGAAAGTGGATCTGGAGGCTGCAAGGTCCGTAAAACAGCAAGGCCCAGACAGTCAAAACCGGCGTGTCGCTCGAGACATCCACGCACAAGGAGATGTTGGACGAGATGTGTTACGGCGCGCCGTGTTCATGCATAACAGTACGCGTTTCGACTAAGATCCCCAACACACCAGATGTGTTCTGACATGCGTCACGACGCCTGTACATGTATAATTAGACGTTTTGGTGGAGAGGTCGTCGACGGAATGATTGTTTGAGGAGTCGTGTTAGGACGATCATTTTCAGACCATGAAGCCATCGCAGGGGTACGCAACTGTCTCCTTGTATACGCGTTCACATTTCACATGTGACGCACACCGCTCAACACATAGGGCAGATCACCCAACCCACCACACAGAGCACACAACATATCGCACACCCGCACGCACACACTCTCACGTACTGCGCTCACAAAGCGCATACCAAACAGCACGCAAAGCACAACGCCCGCACACAACACAGGGTAATTGCTATAACACTCACAACGCACACCGCGCATAGCACACGCGCACATACCGTATGCCCTTCCCGCCCACCGAGTACACGTAAGGCACGTTCACAGCAGGACTCCCTTCTTGGTCGCCTATGGCTGCCTAGTACAACACACACACAGGCACACGCACACACACACACACACGACCACAGCACGCACAACGCACCCGCAACAATCCACACCGTACACAAAGTACGTAATAGTGCAACCTGCAGCGTGCACAAACGCACGCACCCAGCGCATCTTGCGGCACGGTAGACGGGTACGGCAGACCACAGCAGCACGGCAGACCAGTGCAGAACACGAAAGGATGGTTATTACAGATTTCGTAATAAAAGTGAGGGGGTCTGGACCTTCCAAGACAAGCCATTTCAGACCTCCCCCGTGGGAGAACCCTCCAAAACATCGTCCCCAGACCCCCCCAGGCCCTCCAAGATAGCCTGGAAGAGACCCCCCCCGAAATGAGACCCCCCTCCCTTTATTACGAAATCTGGAGTACACGCTCCATCGCACAATACCACGGCAGCACGGCTGACCCGCACAGCAGACTGCTGGAGCACGGCGGGCCAGCACGGCCGACAACCCGACGTAGCAGCAGCGTTGAAGCCCAACACGGCGGAGAAGTTTCACATGCCCAGCTTGCAACAGCGGATTACAAAAACAAACCCTCGTAGGATTGCAAAAAAATAGCCAAAAAACAAAAAAACACCCCCCCCCCCCAAAAAAAAAACAAGAAAAACCCTTCAGGATTGCAAACAAACAAACCCTTCAGGATTGCAATCCTTCGTTTCCCGTTCTTCTCCGTTCAGGTGTCCCACCCGCCATCTCACCGCCGGCAAGCGGAGGTCGGCGGATTCCAGCCGTCTGGACCGCTGAGAGTGAGGCTTGCATACGAGTCGGACGAGGAGGACAGCATGATTGCGGCCGACTTTACGCTAGCGCTTGTCGCCGTGGTGATCGTCTTCTTGATCGTATATGTGCACGTCAGCTCCAGCTTCCTGGCCTGTGTTACGATGTATCAGATCATTCTGTCGCTTCCCGTAGGCGCCCTGTTCTACCGCCACGTGTTCATGATAGATTTCTTCGACTTCCTTCATATCTTGGTCGTCTATCTCGTCCTCGGCATCGGGGCGGACGACGTGTTCGTGCTCGTCGACACGTTCCGCCACCTGTCGAGTGAGCTTCTTCCGGCGGACAGCGTCGTCCACAGCGACCTGGAACTTGCCACGGTGTTACAGTCCACCCTCGTTCGCAGCGGCCAGGCCATATTCAGCACGTCCTTCACCACCACCGTGGCGTTCCTCTCGCAGTCGGTGTCCGGCATCATGCCCCTGAGGACGTGTGGCTACTACGCCGCGATTTGCATCACCATGAACTACGTCTTCACCATGCTCTTCACGCCCTCGGCCCTGATCATCTATTATAAGCGCTTGGAGGGCAAGAGATGCTGCTGTCCCTGGCCTACGCTGCGCCAGGAGCCGCGCCCGGGAGATGAGAGAGTCGGCCGCCGCTCCAACCCTTTGGCCGGAGATGGGTTCATCCAGTGGTTCTTGGAAGCCATCTACATTCCAGCGATGCGCAAGCAGGTTTGCGGCGTCCGCGTCTGCGCCCTGGGCGTCGTCGCAGTCATGACAGCAACGGCAGTCCAGGGCTTCTACTTCACGCTGCAGCTGGAGCCGCCGGTCAAGGCGGAGATCTGGGTCCCCAAGGACCACATGCACTGGGGCATCTCGGAGTTCTGGTCCAGTCACTTCTACGAGGGGGACTACGAGGGGTACTCTGTCATCACCTTCACGTGGGGTATCGAAGGAGCAGACACAGCCGGCTTCGACCAGTACAGGCCAAGCAAGAACCCCCCAAGGGCCCAATTCGACCCATCGTTCGACCTCACCACAGCCGAGGCACAGGCCGAAATCCTCGACGTGTGCGCAGAGATGCAGACCCTGGCGTGCGAGCTGGAGGGCTGCAAGGGCTACGGCGATACACTGATGATGAGTTCCACCTCCAAGGCGTACTCCTGTTTCCTCGAAGACATGCAGCAGTACCGGGTGGACGTCATGGGCAGGCCGTCGAGCGAGCCTCTGCCGACAGGGGACGATTTTCTGGCAGAGCTCCAGCAGTTCGTCCAGGCTTACGTCGGGCCTGTCCCCCTACAGGGGGATTTTCGACGAAGAAACAATAGGCAAAAAATAGTCTAAACACCGTCTGGGGACTATTTTTTGGATATTGTTTGACCTTCTTGGGGTATTTTGGGGGTATGTTTTTCTTTTCGTCGAACATCCCCCTGTCGGGGGACACGCCCGACAGAAGTCCAGGCAGACCCGTGGAGCCAGTACTCCTCGAAGCTGTGCCGAGCAGACTACGCCTACGACGTGGGGATCATCGACGGGCAGCTGAAGTACGTCTCCGTGAAGCTGCGGTCGCGCCTGGCCCTCTCTACGCCGTATTTTGCGGGCATAGAGGTCCGCGACATGATCCAGGATTTCGTGCAGGGTAGGCGGAGCGGCGCGCCAAGCGGACTGAAGAGCATGAGCTTCAACGCCGGCGGTATGTTTTCTTTGTACGATTCCGCTGCTGAATTGGTGATGGCTCTATTCAGCGGCATCTCCATCGCGTTTCCGCTTGCTTTTGTCGCGCTGTTGGTTTCAACCCGCAACTTGATCGTCTCCGTTTACGCTGTGACTTGCGTTGGCGGCGTAGTGGCTTGCGTCCTCGGCTTCTGCAAGAGCGCCATGGGCTGGGGCCTCGGCATCGCCGAGGCAGTTGCGGGCGTCATTGTTATCGGCTACTCGGTGGACTACGTGGTTCACCTTGCCCACGTCTACTGCGAGGCTGCCAAGCAGGGGCATCAAACCAGAGATGCTCGAGCCACCTTCGCGGTGCGAAACATGGGCTCCACTATCTATGCTGGCGCGGTGACCACGGCTGGGTCTTCGGCGGTCATGCTCTTCTGCTATCCGGGTGCCTGCGGCAGGCCTGGGCCACCGTGGCAGCCCAGCACCTCCAGTGGCGGCGGTCGCGGTGGACACCTGTCCGCTCGAGGCTTCGGAGAGCCGCGACATGTGTGTTCCGCGTCGTGTCGGGAGTTCTCTTCTCGTCTTCATCGTCTCCCTCCATCTCGTCCGTTCTCTCCTGTGCCTGTGTCGTGCAGTCTTGGGGGTTCCGTTGGGCCAGGTTGGGCCGTATTTCGGCCCTCTTGGGGCTCTGATTGGCCGTCTTGGGGCCTCCTTGGTCACCTGAGGGCATCTTGCGGCCGTTGTGGGGCAGTCTTTGGGCCATCTTAGGCCGTTGAGGGGTGGTTTTCTTGAAACCGTTTTGCAGGAGTCTTGAGCCGTTCTGGGCTGTCTTGTGGCCATCTCGGGGCCTTCTCAGGCCTTCGGGAGCTCCAAGAAGCTTTCACATGTCAAGACGTCAACATATCTGAAAACCAGTCAGACACCAACGATTGTTGATGCTTCGCGTATCCCCACCAGCTCAGCTCCGGCCCCTGGTCCCTTCAGCTCCAGCGGCTCAACCCCTTCGTGGGGCGCCCCCTGGCCCCTGAGTGCACGTGGTTCAGCCTGCGCTCTCCCGGCAGTCGGACGACTGTGTTGACTACGTCCACGGTCCCTGGCGGCGATGCCCACGGCCCCATCCTGTTCATTCGACCCTGTGCCTGAGACGTGGATTGCCCTGGCCTGGCCAGCCCTCAGACGTCGGCGTTCCTGCTCGAGTGTGCGCGTGGCGTTGTTCAAGCGTGTTATGGTGTCGATTACATCCATCGTTGTCTGGACTACATCGCTCGTCCTACTGGGACCACCCCGTGGACGGTCGTTCGCAGGATCAGTACTCTCTTCAGGAGGTTTGGTGTGCCACTTTGGTGGCGCCACCCTACGCACCTGCTTAGGGCCAGTTGATCCACCCATGGTAGCTGACGCAGTGTACTGCCTGGTTGCCTCCCTGGCCTCATCCTGGCACGACCCCCGCGCCATTTTGGCTGCGCCCCAACCCTGGTTGGTTAATTCGCATACCTTGCGATGCAGCTCCCATGGCACTCGCGCGTTAGCATCTTCCTGGCAGCCCCAGCAGCCTGCAGTCCCCACCCACGGCGGTGCTGCACAGCTTCGACGCAGCCGCTTCCCCCGGCGGTAGGTCCTGCTTAGCTCCGCGCGCGCGCCGGCAAGTAGTCCCGCTCGTAGTCCGAGCCGACTCGACTCGCCGCTGGCGCCTTCGCCTGCGGTTGCGACAAAAAAATCCCCACCAGCCCATCCAGAAATGATGCCCAGGGGAGGTGAGGTGATCTCAGGGAAATGGGGAAACATACAGAGGTACAAGGGGCGGGGGACGCCGTCCGATAACCCCAAGAAGGGGAGGATGGTGGAGGAGACGGAGAAGGAGGAAAAGGAGGAGGAGGAGGGTGACGAGGGCGGAGGGGGAGACAGTGGACAAGGAGGAGGAGGAAGAGGAGGAGGAGGAGGAGGCGGAGGAGGGGCATCTTGGCGAGCCCAGAGCCGTTTTTGAGCGTCTTGGGTGCTTCGGGGATCCTCTTGAAGCCTCTTGGGGCCTCTTGGGAGCCTCTTGGAGGCTTCCTGGACGCCTCCTGGGGCCGTCTGGGCGCCTCTCGGGGCCATCTTGGGGCGCTCCTGGGAGCGTCAGTAGGAGCACTCTTGGCGCCACCTTGGAGGAGATCGATCAAAGAAGAGAGGTTCCTGAATTTGCAGCCCCCCTCAGGATCCCCAAACATTGCCTCCTGGACCCCTCTTGGAGCGCTCTTGGGGCTCTCTTGGGCGGTCTTGAGGCCGTCCTGGGGCTCCCTTGGGTCTCTGTCGGGGCCCTTTCGGGCCATCTTGGGGCCCTCTCGGGCCATCGGAAGCAAAAAGGCGAAAACGCACCAACCATTGATGTCTCTAGGTTTTGAAAGGATTTGGGCATCTTCGGTGCCTGCTAGCGGAGCTCTTTGGCCACTTGGAGCCGCCTTGGAGCGGTATTACATCTTTGAGCTCATCTTGGGCTCCCCGAGGCGCTCTTTGAGCCATCTTGGGCCACCTTGGACGCTCCAACCCTGCGGGGGACGCCCCGTCCAGGTCCAGGGGAAGGGGGTCGGGGGAGGGGTCAAGCTACCCACCCGCCCGCAAGCCTTGCAGCTCACTCCCACCCGCCCTCCCAACACATAGGTAACACCCGATCCTGAGCATGTTCAGCGGTCGTCTTTGGATGGACGGTGGACAGCTACTGGGAACCAAAGCCGATCCCAGGTGCGCCACGCTTGGGCGAGGTGCGCCACGCGTGCCAGGGGCGCCACACGCGCCAGGCACCTCTGGGGCCCGAGCGTACCAGGCACGCCTGGTGCGCCAGATGCGCCACATGCCCCGAGAGCGCTAGGTGTGCCGCACACTCCAGCCGCGCCAGGTGCGCCAAGTTCGGGGCACGCGCAGGGTGCGTCAGGTGCGCCTGCGCACGTGACAGCACACATCGGGAATCATGTCGGTCCCCACCATCCTTGTCGAAAACCAATGCCTATCATTGTGCCTGGTGGTCCTGCGCATAGCAGACCACGCGCCACCACCCAAGCGGCCCCGGTCAAAAACCAGTTGATAGTGATTGCGGGATGGCCTCGCAGGATCCATATTGGGCCGCGAGGTGCATGTAGTATTGGACAGGGATTGTCGCCCTGCACGCAGCAGGGAATATGCTGACACCTCGGCCGTCCCTGTCAAAAACAATACAAAGTGCTCGCGGGCCTCACGAACATGACTCAAGACTTTGCCCCGAAGTGTATGTTGTATTATTTTGTTGTCAGGGGGTGATAATTCCCTCCCCGAAGGGGAAGGGGGGCAGATGGAAGACAAACCACCCTAGACCACCTACGCCCTAAAGAGCTGGTGGGACTTTGATTAATTTTTGCATCAGTGAAGATCCTCTTGTGGTCCTCTCGGGCCGTCTTGAGGGCGTCATGGCTTGTCTTGATGTAATGTTAGGCCGCCTTGGGGCCATCTCGGGCCGTTTTGAAGACAGATTGGGCAATCTTGGCGGCGTTGGTCGCATGTCTTGGCAGTCTAGGAATCTCAAGAGCACGGGCCCATTCATTTTTTTTCCATGGGGTCATGTCTTCTTCGGGCTCGCTGGCGCATCGTGGATCGTGTCTTCGAGAGCGCGTATCGCAGGTCCTTTGCGAAGGAAAACGGGGGCGGTGCATGTGAGGGAATGCTACAGTGGAGACCCGCGCCAAGAACCACCAGGGTGCCCTGGGTTTCTTTGGTTTCGATGGTTCTGTTATGGAAAGCGTGACGTTCCCACACCAAGAATCAACGTCAGCATGGGAAAGAAACACACAGAATTCATGGTCGACTCCCGTGTAAATATTGAAAAACAACGGAAGTGGGGGGTTACGAAGACCCAGAACACTTGGGATGTGCGTCTCTGTCGGTGTATTGATGTGTCCCTGGGCACCCTTCTAGCTCCCCGCCGCGCCTCCGCGTGTGCCCAGAGCCCCAGCGGCGGATTTCACCTTCTTCAACAAGATGGCAACGCTGATCTGCGTCACGATCATGTACTCATTCCTGTTCTCCATGGGGCTCTTTACTGGCCTCCTGTGGCTCATACAGGGGAGCGAACAATGCCATACACATCAAAAACTCGGAGGTCCGCGCGGGTTTCTCGGATCGGCGCGTGACCCCCCCTGGCGGCGCCTCCGGCGCCGCCTTTGGCGCGCTCCGCCCACCAGGGTGGGGGTTCCAGCGCGGATCAAAGAAATGCGCGCGGACCTCCGAGTTGTTATGATTCTGTCATGCTTCGTTTCCCTATGATCGGCCCGCAAGGGGCATGCGGTGATATTTGTTGCTGCCGCGGTAGGGCCAGGGGCGATGAGACTGGCGCAGTCCCAGATGTGGAGCGCGAGGACGCAGCCAAGCCGCACAATTGATTATTGTCATGTCGTCTCTCTCGGACCCAGTTGACATATATAGTTAGTTTTGCTGTATCTCTCTCTCTCTCTCTCTTTATATATCTCTCTCTCTCTGTCTCTGTTTCTGTGTCTCTCTCTTTCTCTGTTTGGGCCTCCTTGATGAGGACGGAGTAGATGGGGTCAGAGACCGTGCTTCCACACGCCGACGACACCGATACGTCGCCGACGTCGCTGATGCATGGCCGACGCATTGGTTATGCATCGGTGATGCCTTGGCGATGCGGCGCGACCCTTTGACCCGATGTACTCGGACCCCATCTAGGAGGCTTCTACTTTGTCTCTATCCTTCCCTCTTACTCTCTCTTTCTCTGTCTGTTTCTGTCTCTCTTTCTGTCTCTCTCTCTCTCTCTCTCGCTTTCGTGTTTCTCTTCTCTCTCTCTCTCTCTTACACATCCCCATCCCTGGCCCCCCCTCCCCCAAGTGTCTGACAACCCCGTGTTCTTTTGTGTTTCTCTCTCGCTCTTTTCGTTTGTCCTGCCTCTCTGCCTCTGTATTTGTTTCTCTCTCTCTATCTCTTTCTCTCTCTCTCTCTATGTATTTCTCTCTCTCTCTCTCTCTCTCACGCGTTTCTCTTCTTTCTCTCTCACGCATCCCCATCCCTGCCCCCCCCAGTGTCTGACACCCCCGTGTTCTGTTGGGTTTCTCTCTCGCCCTTTTTTTGTCATGTCTCTCTGTCTCTCGTTCTCTCTCTCTCTCTCTCTCTCTCTTTCTCAAGGATGCACACATTTATACTCTACACATGCTTATATATAGATATAGATACGTGTGTGTGTGTTTGTATAACCTGTATATGCATATACATATATACTGGTATGTGTGCACGTACATGTGCGGAGTTCTCCCTTTGAGCCACCTTATACGAATGGTCTTCAGCCCATCACGCCACCGTGCCTGGGTGTGGGTCAGAGTTATCAGGGATTATTCCTCGGGTCTCTTCGGAGCGCTCCAGGGGGACTCTCTGGGGCAGTTCTTGGTCCATTTGGGAGCCTGTTTGGGGCCCCTTGGGGCCTCTCGGGGG